GCTGAGTAAACACACTGTAACTTTCATATTTCATGACATGTTGCCATTATCTTGTTTTTTTAACATAAGCTGCCTCGAAAAAATCCAGAAAGTAGCATATTTGCCTATTTCTGAGTAGAAATCCCCTGGGGAATGATCCCCTCCCCAGCGTTCCCCTTGTGCATAGCAGGGATGGCTGCTGGGGATCATTCCCCTGGGATAAAGGACGATATGCAGCTGATAGTTACAGCGTTTATGGAGAGCTGGCACAATTTGCAGCTTCTGTTATGTGTTAGAATACTGCTTTGAGCGTCCGCGCGGCACCCCCCCCCCCCTTTTCGGCAGCATAACGTCTTCTACCCATTCCCTTGCAGAGACACATCAACTTCTATAGTTCAACATTTTTACGCTGAAATGGAGCAGCATGAACGAAAGTGGGCAGCATCCAAGAAAGCAGGAACATAATGAGAGTAGAAAAAATCATTTTTAGCGCCCCGAGCGCAGTCACTGCATACGCGCATTCCGCAACCCTAATTTAATTAAAGTGAGGAGATGAAGATGAGTTGCAGTCAAAATATGAAATAAGAAAGAGTTTTTCATAGAAAATTTGAAAGCAAGGTGATTTCCCCGCTTGATCCCCTCTTGTGCATAAGAGGGTTCACTTCCCCTCCCCACAGGGGATCCCTTGTACAATATTGGTTGTTGTGCATACGGGGGTTCGCGCGGGGAGGGGAGGGGATCCCCAGCGGGGATCATTTCAATGGTTAAGCGCACATCCCCTCCCCGCGGGGATGTACGTGCATACGGGCCTAAGCATCTCAGATGATAATGTATTTATTAGTATGTACCTAGGTATGTTGGAGTTCCAATGAGGATATCTAATAACTTTGAAATTGTAGCTGTCTGTTTTATTATAAAGACTAAATTTTACTAAATTGTCAAAAGTGTTTATGTGTAAATCTAAGAAATTAGTGATTTTGCAATTATTGTTGGTCTTTTCTATCTCAAGTGTATCATGATATATATCTTTAATAATTCTTTCAAATTCTTGTTCATTTGTAGATACGTGGAGTATATCATCAATATATCTATAAGTATACTTAAAAGAGAATCTCAAATTGTTTGATGTAATTGCCAGCCTTTTCATAAATTCATATTCCATATATGTCAATGTTAGGTCGGCCATTTGTGGGCTACAAGAAGCACCCTGTGGTATACCCTTAATTTGTCGGTAAACGACTCCTCCAAAACTCAAGTAACTAGAGTCTAGCAGGGAGTCTATCATGTAGAGTACATCCTCCAGTTGAAAATATTTTCCGTGTAGTGTAACCGTATTGACATAAGATACGTTTCTATTACATACTCTGATATATTTAAAGCCTCTCATACACTGGGTTAAAAGTTTCTTGAGATTAGACTTTACCACGTTATGTGGTAGACTAGTAAAAAGACTTGAGAAATCCGCAGAATAAATGTTCAAGTTTCCCTTAGCTCTTGCTAAGTCCCTTATTATCTGGGTACTATTTTCCACCGCCCAGAAGTAATTAATTTGTGTTCTCTGTCTTATAACCTTACAATAATTAGCAAAATGTTTTCTTGTATGTGCAAGTATGAGCTGCAAAATATTTGTAAGAGGTTTCAGTGTACTTTTTCTTGCTCCTGTTATGTATCTGAATTTGATTGGATTCTTATGCATCTTTGGTATACCATAAATTCTAGGTATTTCGAGGAATCTTTCCTCAGGTTTAATATTCAGACTGTTAAGTATTCTTACATGCTTCATTCGGATATCTTCAATTGTAAAGTTGGTGCTTTCATAGGTGTTACCTTCATTATTAGCTTGTTCCATTTCTTTCTTCATCATTTTTATATAGAATTTTTTGCAGGTAAAACTAAAATTAGAACTAGCTTTATCCACTGGGGTTATTACAAAATGTTTGTGTAATTGCTCTAAGGCTTTTTTATCGTATTGGTCGTCTTCAATTTCTTCCATGTTATACATATTATACAATTTCGGTGTAATCTTGTTCTTAAAGTAACGGTTCATGCTGTGTATTAAGTGTTCCTTGTTTGTAGAGTTAGCTCTAAATTTATGTATGTACTTTGTCACTAGTTGGGATACAAGGTCTTTTATCGTGCTTAGAACATCTTCTTTATTAAATATAGAGAGTCTTCTATATTTAGTTCCTTTTCTCAATGCACTCTTCAATCTTTCGTCATCTATAAAATCGATACTCCCTGTGCAGACATGCTTATGAGTTGGATCAATATACGCAACATATTTGTCGCATACACACTCTTGATCCTCTATGTAATTAATAAGGTTAATATCTAACTTTCTGAGAAAGTTATTATAATTACAAATTTCAAGCCCTAGAGGCTTTTGTAAGTTATAGCGGATTGTTACTCTAATATCTTTCAAATCGATGTCCCTAGTATTTATGTGTTCAGTAATTATTCTATGTACGCTAGCACTGTTGCTTAATCTAGTAAGTTTCAGTCGTTCCATAATGTTGCCCAAGTATGGTAATGTGATATTTATTTGGTCTTTGTCTTTCATTAAAGTCTTTGTCCTTCCCCAAAATGGAGTGGCTATCAATGAATATATCTTGTATCTATGTTCAAATGTTAATTTATTAAAGTCTGCCGTAAAGGAGTATTCGATAAGCCTATTTATATCCATTTTATTTAATGTACGGAAGTACCTGAAGAGTGCATTACTATACAAATTATCTATCATTGTTATTACTACTTCTGTTCTGTCATAGCATGTACTTTTTCTTCTGGATCTTCTTTTCTTTCTTCCCCTTCTTGTTCTTCTGACTGGACATCTAAAGTAAGGATGTTCCCTTTTTTCTAGCGGATTAATATTCTCAGAAATATTGCCAAACCCTTTTATTTGGTCATTAAATCCAAATGGATATGCAGTGACCATATATTGTATCCACTTAAGCTCTTTGTCTCTTAAGAGTTTTTTTGTATTGTCCATTTCAGTAACATGATCCAGTACATCTACACTAATGTTTTCCGGGTCATGCCCAGTATTTTTGAAATGATCCACCATAAACGTATGGATGTTGAATTTATGAAAACTTCTCTTATGTTGATTTATTCTTGATCTCAATTTTTGTGTGGTCTCACCGACATATTGTAAGTTACACGTAAGACATGTTATCATATAAATCACATTCTTTGATTCACAATTACATATGTTGGGTTTGTTAGTTCTGAAGTAGTAATTTGTTGTAGAACTATGCGTAATGTTGTTGAATTTGATTTTATCACATATGTTACAGTTTCTTCTGTTGCATCTAGAACCAGTATTGTTATTACTTGTGTTATTGTTTACCACTCTTAGCCGATTTTCTGTGTTATTATCGTTGAACAAGGACAACACTGAACAAAGATTAGCTTGAATTAGATTTTTGTTAAGGGACCTGCAATCCATTGAGTCAAAGGCGGTCCATCCTGGACTCTTATGCAGTTTCCTTCAAGAGGCTAGTTCCTCTTAGGTTAGGGCGAACCATTTCATCGCTGGGGAGCGCTACCCGTGATGCAAACTGCATCGGATATTTATGCCCAACATCACGTCAGGGTTCTCCCGAAATTTTATAACTAATATTATTTAAATCTATTTCAATTAGCACAGCGACACTTAGATGTCAATTTCTTATCTGTTTGTAAGGTTGCTGATTTATCGTTGCTGATTTTCCTATGTAACGTTATATAGGTAGGAGTAGGATTGCTACTCCAAACCTGCATATAAGATTCTTCATTGAAATTCTTGAACGATGACGGAGTAGAGTTATTGAGTTGCAGAGCTGCTCATTTGTCTATTTGTGTTAGCAGACCATATAAGCGCGAAATTTTTTAATAGAAATAAAAGACGATCAACTGACTTTAGCCTTTTGCGATTCAGAAACGTCATTGCTTTCTTGTCACTTCGTTTTTGTGCGCTTTTTGGTTAATGTCACTTCAGTTTTATCACGTTTTGAGGGCTCACTTATCAGCAAAAAAAAAGCGATTGCATATACTGATGTACAGCCCTCAACACAAAAAAAGACTATTATCTAACTCTGACTTTCTTGCGATATACGTCATTGTTTCTCATCACCTGATTCTTTGTGCATTCTTGAGATATCACTTCAGCCATCTCACGTTTGAGGCTCACTTATCAGCTAATAGAAAGTGATTGCAAGTTCTTTTGTGCAAAATTAACTACAAGTTCGAAGCTGTAGCAAATGCTGAATCATCATATGTTCTTGATTGCACTCCCCTCCCAGACTTCTCAAGAGTGTAAATCCTGAAAGTAATCGGATGAAACGGTGAAACGATGAAATACTTAGAAGCATTTTCAACTGCGCAAAAGTGCTCATGAAGCCAATCCCAAGTCATGTTTGTTAATTGGCGATGCAGTATAATATGCCAAAGTTTACTTTTCCACCTTCCGATTATTCAAAAATATTGAGAAAAGTAGCCTAATTCTGAAATCTTGCGGAAAATAGATTTCACCTTTGGAACACCTTTTATTGGAGTAGCTTACGTAGATGCGTCTTTTTCAGTTTTTCTTTTGCTTTCCTGCTCTATTTTAAGAGAAAAGAGCGATTTTAATCCTTAAAAAATGTACTGTCATTGCCAAGCAAGCGTGCTACAAGGTGCATTTCGAAACAAGATGCAGAGATAATTCAAATTTTTGCGCAAACTGGCACGCTCAATGCAGTCCTTTGGCTCGAAACCAATTATGTGCTTCTATGTGCAAAGAAGGAATTCAAGCGTTATTCATTTTTTACAGAGTAGACAGTAACCTGATTAACACTGTTTTGCCGAAAACTTTTCTCAAAGTTCCGCAAAAGAACTCAAAAATCTAAATAGGCAAATTTTCTAATATATTGTACTATTGGAAACAGCATTTGCTGCTTCAAGAAGAATTTATAACATCGAAAGAAAACGGCTGATTTATTTGTACCTGATTTCGATTTTTGCTTGATTGATAAAAGGTTGGATTGTGGAACCTGCAAGATTTTAGCTCGTTATGCCACGAATTCGAGCTTGCGATCTTTGGAAGCTAGCTCATGGCTACCAAGCCGATCCATGGATTCCGGAAGCCAACATATGCGGTACGTTTTATTCATGAGTTTCCTAGACAGCTGTCGTCGTACTTATCAACGAGTACTAGTAGGTTCTGCAGCCTAGTACAGCGGAGTAAGATCGGTATTTAGAAAAAACTCTACTGACAAGGGAAGGAAGGTTGGTCGAAGTGGCCTTTTGAAACGAGGTGTGTACTGCCTTGCAGAGCTTAGAACGCTTTCCAAATCTACCTTTGTTATCTGCTGCGAGCTTCTGGGCGAGGAGTTATGAAGGTTTTTGTGAGTAAAAATCTGAATGCAAGAGTAGGCTAAAATCAGTCGTAACCTTTTCCCAATGTTCAAATGAGGCAGCAGCGGATTGGTATGATTGAATCAAGAATATCTGTTGCACCGAATGACCCGACTACCAATTAAGCCCTGTAAAAAATGTTACGACTGATTTTAGCCTACTCTTGCATTCAGATTTTTACTCACAGAAGCCTTCTTAACTCCTCTCCCAGAAGCCCGCAGCAGATAGCAAAGGTAGATTTGGAATCAGCCTTCAAAGCTCTACAAGGCAGTATACATCTCATTTTAAAAGGCCGCTTCGAACAGCCTTCCTTTTCTTGTGAGTCCCGATTCGCTAGCTTCGTGCTGGTCTCGTGGGTCTATCAACTGGGTTCTGAAACCCACTTGGTTCATTGATGAATATCAAACTTGAATTGATCAAACTCATGACTCATTTCGTGTTCGGTGTTTACAACTATATTTATTTCTTTGTACTCATGGGTTAAGCTACCGTTGATTGAGGTTGCTGTGAGGCCTCGTTTAAGGAGAACACAAATCAATTTTCTTTCTTTCACACATAATTTCCCCTCCCCCCTTGTTTCCTAACATGACTTTTGTTAACATTCTAAATCCTACATTAGCTTTGAAAAGTTAAAACATCTGTGCTACTAGGCACATTCGGATTAGCTATAATTACGAGCTTCTCAGGATATCAAAACATTGCATGTACCGTCTCCTTATAAAGCGTCGTTTCAGATGCTGAAACCGGCATTTCAAAGAAAGTTTCAAAATCAAAGTTCAGTAGCGAATTTGCTCAATCAAGACGAAATTTCGGATTTAAAGGTTTTCAAAGTTGCTCTTTTGGTGAAACATATTTGTTGCATCAAAGTCCAGTGATAATGCCCCACCGAGATCAAAATTCGGATTTAGGGGTGTTTTCGCATTTTCCTTTCTCAAAACAAGACCGAAGTTCAAGCTTTATCGCTTTTCCGATAATGATGTATTTTTTGTGCAATATCAATAGCAGTTTGATTTTTTGCACATTTTTGGAGAAAGTTTGACAAGGAAGCGAATTCTTTTATTAGAAATGAAATGCAAAATAAAAGAAAAATAAAAAATATATAAAAGTTCCGTTCTATTTCTTTCCAAATTCAGTAAGAATATGTCAAGGTGCGGCAGTGATAATGATCCAGCCAAGTATTTTTTGAAATATCTCAGGTCACTGAGGTCATTGAGGCTGTTCCAATGCCAAGAAAATTTCATAGTCACCTAGGAAGCTCTTAATGATGTAAAACAATAGAGAAAGACATATTATTATTTTGAACCAAACTCAAGCTCATGCTACGTTTTTCAATAGTTCATTCATATTTTTTCGAAAACCCGTAAATCGGAATTTTTATCTTGTTCCAAAGAAATTTCGGCTAAATCCGAATTTTGATCTCGGTTGGGATTATTGGTGCTAAATCTTGACCTTGCAAGAAACAAATCCAACTGCTGAAAAAAGCAACCTCGAGAACCTCTAAATCCAAAATTTGGTCGAGATTGGGTTTTCGCTACTAAACTTCAATTTCAAAATTTTCTTTGTTTGAGCATCTGAAGCGACATTGGATAAAGGGACGGGGCTTGCAATGCAATTGGTATACTGAAAAGCTCGTAATTATAGCGATCCGAATGTACCTGGCAAGCACATCACTTACGTGCGAGAATATGGCTTAAGTAGAAATTTTTGCCCCAAAAGACAGCATGTAGCAGGAGTGGAAAACACGAATGTTCATAAAATTTGCTGTGAGTCAAGTGTGTTAGGATATTAGGCAACGTCCCGGCATAAAAATGAGTGCCGGGTTTTTGTGGCGATGTTAGAATAGACCCCTACCTAAGCGATGACTGAAGTTCGGAGCGAAAGAGGGGGTCTACTAAGCCTGAAATTTGCTCCGAAAGTGGCCCGAATCTTACGGTAGGCCCGGACGGTGCCCACACATAATATCGATTTGCAAGGCCAGAGTGCGTATAACGCACGCAGTCATGAGGGCAGGGTCCCGCAACGACTCTGCGTCTCTTGCACCTTGCATGCCTCTCGCACTCGCCTGAGCCTACCGTGAGATTAGGGCTACTTGAGGGGCGATTTGGAGACTTCCCTCCTTTCGCGCTGCAAACTTCTGTCAGCTCAGTCAGGGGTCTACTATTACATCACTACCAGAGCCAGATACCCCCCAGTCTGGGGGACGCTGCCTTTGATCCATTCCAATGTTTTAACAACAATGCCTTCCTCGCGTTCATGACAAGACAATGCTCAAGTTTCATGACCAAAGTCCATATTTAAAATATGACACCAATATTTTTTCAGACATTTGCACCGTGCGAAACGACCATACCAAAACTGGGTAGACGTCGTCACACGCTAATCCGGTACCATAAATGGTAATGTCGGGAGTCAATGATATTCGGCCGTCAGCCGGTGTGAGGAAGAACAATATTTGAGACGTGCTCTTAGTCCTAGGTGACAGAACTCTGCATGACTTGTTCCTTATAAGCACAGTTTACAGTGGCATCTTATACAGGGTGTCCCAAAAGTAAGTATCGAACGTTTGATCGTTAATAACTCTCTTCCCAAGAAGTCTTTTGCCTTGCTTCAGGTACCGTTTTGTAGAGCTGGCTTCAACTTAGATTTGCAGTATAGAGCGAATCACTCATTTCTCTTCATTACTGTAGGATTACGGTAGAAACTTCAAGGAGGGTTTTAAGCAATGAAAGACCATATTTTGCCCCAGAAAGGAAACAAAACAGCCTTAAAACTTTTACACTAGGCTAATTAGAGTTGCTGATTATAACTGTAAAGTTCCCAACTTATTATGATGCTTCATTGAAGAGTTATGCCAGGTAAGAAGTAGCGGCCATTTTTTCAATGTTCCTAAAAAGTGGGATTGCACGGTTTGGAAAGCTTCGTAATCTTGTGAATAGTTAATTATTGAACTCAGCGTCCATAAAAACCCTATTACACAAGTTTTCATGATTTTTTGAAAAATTTTGAAACGGCAGCTTTTTTCACATTAACGCCATATGTTTCAAGTTTCTACCGTAATCCTACAGTAATGAAGAGAGATGAGTGATTCGTTCTATAGTGCAAATCTAAGTTGAAGCCAGCTCTACAAAACGGTACCTGAAGCAAGGCAAAAGACTTCTTGGGAAGAGAGTTATTAACGATCAAACGTTCGATACTTACTTTTGGGACACCCTGTATATAAAGCTGAATGTCTGTTTGTCTGTCTGTCTGTATGTATGTCTGTACGTATGTTCCGAATAGAAAATTCCATTTCTGAACCGATCCGGACCAAACTTGGCACGCATACACTTCGGGCCCCGGCGGGTGTCATAGGCTGCTTTTCGTCATCGATCGATATCGATTTTATCGATTTTTTGCAAAATTTGAGCTACGGGGCTGGGAGTTGGTACAGGGGGGTAATCGAGCATGCTGATCACGAATAAAATAATGACAGGGCCGGGCGGAGCCGGGTAAGCCATCTAGTTCACCAATAACTCTTGCATACAAAGCCACAAAGTTCGTCACTTGTAGGATTTTATGAACGACTAGCTGGCTTACCCGGCTCCGCCGTATCCGGACCAAACTTGGCACACATACACTTCGGGCCCCGGCGGGTGTCATAGTCCACTTTTCGTTATCGATCGATGTCGATTTTACCGATTTTTATCGATTTTTTTGCAGAATTCACCTACAGGGCTAGGAGTTGGCACAGGGGGAAGTGAGCATGGGGATTCCGAATACAATATTAGTTTTCAGAATTATCGATTACTTTTATCGATTTTATCGATTTTTTTGTAAAGTTTGACCTGCGGGGCTGGGAGTTTGCACAGGGGGGTAATCGAGCATGCAGATTACGAATACAGTATTAGTTTTCAAGATCGTCCATTACTTTTATCGATTTTATCGATTTTTTGAAAATTTGAGCTAGGGGGCTGGAATTTGGCACAGGGGGTAATCGAGCATGCTGATCACCCCCTTGGGGATGATCAGCATGCTCGATTACCCCCCTGTGCCAACTCCCAGCCCCCTAGCGCAAACTTTGCAAAAAATCGATAAAATCGATAAAAGTAATCGATAATCCCGAAAACCAATATTGTATTCGGAATCCCCATGCTCGATTACCCCCCTGTGCCAACTCCCAGCCCCGTAGGTGAACTCAGCAAAAAAATCGATAAAAATCGATAAAATCGATATCGATCGATGACGAAAAGTAGCCTATGACACCCGCCGGGCCCGTAGTGTATGTGTGCCAAGTTTGGTCCGGATCGGTTCAGAAATGAAATTTTCTATTCGGAACATACGTACAGACAGACAGACAGACATACAGACAGACAGACAGACAGACATACAGACATACAGACAAACAGACATTCAGCTTTATATATAAGATTGCATGTGAAAACCGCCAGCTAAGTATTGTACGCTGTGCGCTGAAAGGTTCTCCCTTAGCTCAGTTACACATAAGATTGCGAGTACTTCTGAGAGTGCTCTACGTGCGATTCAGTCTTGCTTCTTCTGTTTTCGCATTTCAGAAATATAAAGTAATCTACAAAAATTCGGACGCAGCAGACTTGAATTTCCAAGGAGACTCTCGGTCATTCATAAAAATATAAAAAAATATGAAGATAAATATGAAATATAGAACTTCCATGCAACGCAAGATCGCCACCCCAGAAGACCATCTGACGGAGTTCCCATATTGCTGGGCTGCCGATCACCCCGAAACTAACAACTTACAGCATATTTCTATGCTTTTCCAAATGATACAAAACACCTTCAATAACCTGCAAATCGAAACTACGGGCAAACCAATTAGTAAAAAACTCGCTTTAGTTTGTCTCCTCCATACTTTTTCGGTCTACAGCTTGCTTCCTCTGTCCTAAATTCTTCCGTGTCTGCTTTTAGTCTGTTTATCAGTCTTACCTTTGGTCTTCCTCCTCTTGGCCTACTTCGGGTATTTCCGCAGACAATGCCAATCGCGACATGCGTCTGCTCAACTTCTAAATGTCCATAACACTGGAGCTGCTTCTCTTGTACCTTTCCAACGGTGGAGGCTGCCTTCTGTAGCTCGTATGGTTGTTGGTGATATGGTTTATCGTGGTGATCCTGCCGTCCATTGAAATACGTGTTTCCATCACATTAATCTTTTCGTTTTCTCGCGTCCACAAACAACATCGCTGTCCTGAAGAACAGTTAGATACAGTACAATACAGCACAGCAGAACTTCGAGCTTGAGTGGATCTGCTTATCGAAGAGTATGGTCTCTGGGGGTTATTTGACACATGCTGACTACAAAATGATACTCATTCCGCATGAGGAAGCCTCCTTCGCAAGCTTGAGGTGTTATTTTTAGCCTTAGCAACAAATGAACATTTATAATGTTCAGCATGTCGAATTGTCCTACTGTGCGAAAGGCGCTGAGGTTTCGCAATTTACTCTATGACAGATGCCCTTCCAAATTTGGTGTTCTCGATTCGTTCAACATTTCAAGACGCCCGATCTCAATTTGTCTTCAAATTTTATTTCTTTTTTAATGAGTGTAATGAGTCAATCTCTAGCAATGCCGCCTATAACTCCGTCTTTATGGGTTCAACTCAGGTTGTGCATGGCTTCAATTCTGCTTAAAAATCGATTCTTCAAAAACGCTCATAGTTTCTCTATTGTGTCGTCAAAAATTAAGTAGTTTGCGCAGTCTTGTAGCTTATATTTAATTTTATTCAATGCCGGAAAAATGCGAGCGCTAATTTCAAAAAGAGAAAGGTTATTGGAAAATTTGAAAAACTCGGAGTCATCCTATTTAAACTTGTCCGATAACAAACTTTTACATGACAGCGTCAGTCATGTCTGCGAAGAAAGTCATGTAAACTAATTTTTCCTGTTGATATTTTGATCAAATTCAATAAATGTTTTGATCGCGATTGTTTTATCAATGCCAAAATGTATCATCGACTCCACGATTCGTGTAGAGGCGGGGTTTTGCCAACTTAGTGCGTGGTGTTTTTGATAGCGAGAGAGTGCAAAGAACAATGCTATAAAGTGGAGGTTCGACAAGTTCATCCTTAAAATCAGGGAAAGTCCGCAACCCGCCTTTCACGAACCGTGGAGACGATCATATATCTATAGTATGAAGGTGCTCAAGGGCATATATCAATAACCGCGTAGTGGTTCGATCGCTTTTAATGATTTTTTTATCAACTTTTTGTTTATTTCGACAATAAACCGAGTTTTAATAGCACTCAAAACATGGTAGGCTGTTAAAAAAAGGAAAAATCAAACTTGTTCAGTAATTTAGCAAAACAAGAAGATTCTCCTCTCATCTTCCAGTTTTTTGCAAGGAGACTGCTTTGAACTTTGCGTGGGAAGGAGAGCAGCTTTGGGTGAGAGCGTTCAAGCTTATATGCTTTACCTCGCACCATATATTAATGAGTTCCTTTCATGTGATGAGCTCGGAGTACGGTGTTGATTACGCCGATTCAGTAGTTTCTCAGCAATGCACGTGCCAGGCATTCATTTGTTTAGTGAAGTCATCAGGTGTTGGTAAACATTTTTTATGCAAGAATGAATCATGGACCGTCAATTCCCTTTTCATCATTGGAAACTCTTGCCATTTTATTCAGATGCAATGCCAGTGATAATTCTTGCAGATGTGGGGAGATTCTTTGAATAGAGTGATCGAAAGTGCAGTAACATAGTACCTACTCAACTGACTTTTCCATCTCATCAACTTTTATTGCCAAATTTGATGAGTGATATCTGTTTTGCATTTATCAATCAAAAACTTTTCTTAATATTTTCTCCTTTATTCCAACTCCATATAACTTCTCAAATAGAAAGTGCTACGCAAAAATCAAGTAGGTTGTTTCAAAAGCTTGTTCGCATCGTCCTTAGCAAATTGTGACTCCATTCTATCTAAATCTCTGCATAACCTTTTTAGGATAGGAAAACCATTTACTTTCTGTAAAAAATTTAGACCTTTTTCTAAACTCAATTTTGCACGAATAAAATGCAGAAAGAAGATCACTCGAGTTTTGGTCATTTCAAACAAGTTCACAAAACTAGAAATACTACAACAAATCTAAAAAGTTGTAACATGGTAGTATCTTTTCTTCTTAATTAAGCAAAAATTTGCTGTATATCGTATCTCCATAAATCCATAACTTCTAAAAACTCTCAATCAGCACAATTTTTGTTTAGCTAACAAGAGATGGGTATGAACAAATCTAATATTACTTTGAATTTTTCCTTAAAAAACGAATGATATGAAAGTTTTTGATTTCTTATGTCGAAGCATCTCAGCCTCCAATAGATTGAGACTCATTCTTGAACTTGAAGTGGAAGCTGTAGAGCTTGTTTTTTTTTTCCAGTTAACACAAAAAGCTCTGCTTTTCATTTATGGTTCTATGATAGTAAAATCGACAAACTTACATATCATTAGCAAATAACAGCAATCTTATGACTCATTGCTTTTAAAGGCTTTTTTTGATACTCCACATAGCAGCGCATTAGATGCAGAACACGAAAAACAGCATCCATGTTTTTTGAAGGAAAAAGGCGCGGGCATGATCTCTGGACTAGAATTCAATTCCTGATTTCCACTGAGTGTTTCGCCAGAATCTAATATATAAAGAATCGTAAGCTGCATTCAAAAACTATCAAAAAGCGGGAAACCGCAGTGTGGTCCCGAAGCGTGCGGATGCCATCTAGCACGTTTAATTGCTCGTTCACTAGTACATTCTAAATATGGAATCAACTTACATTTTAGATAATTGAGCTTTCGCAAAAATGAACGACAGCAATATTGACGACATTGAAATTCACAACAACATTGGCGACATTAATATTCATGCTTTTGCTGGAATTGTAATGTTAGCGGTAAGAAAATGCAAAAGGTAAAGAATTCGAAACATCTATAGCTGTTATTCTTCCAGGTATCACCTTTCGGAGTCGCCGCCAATGCCTACGTTTTTCTGAATGTGTTAAGTCGACGTCAATCTCGCAATTCATTTTTAACTTTATGTGCATCGAAAGCACTGTTCAATTTTGTTATCTGTTTTGTCTTCCTAATATGGTGCACTCCCATAGCGTTTCTGTGAGTTTCAAAATTTCAGAAAAAAATGAAGTATTTGGTGGAAAGATACTACAAGGAACGTAGTCGTTTCAGACATGCTTATTTCTTGCCACCTGTTGTTGGAATGATATTCGGTAACGTAGTAGGTGGAATGCTTTACTTGGGTGGCGTTATAACCCAGGTAATTGATGCAAGGTTTTCCATTTCTCATATTATGAGTTAATTTTGCAGGTGCTCGCATCAGTAAATCGCCTCATCGCCTCATTTTCAATACAACTTTACAGTAAATTCTGTACCCTTCGAAATACCATGGTAAATTTGGTTGATTCTAGTCAAACTTTACTTTGTATAGAAATTTGTAAACAATTGTGTTTAAGCCAATAGTTTGGCGAATATTTCTAAGCACCTTTTTTTATTCTGCTGAGTTTATGTAAACTCCTTTTTCCAACTCTACTGAACTGGCTCAAAACAACCCTATGGCGCTCCTGCCCATCATTAGCCTTGCTATACTTCAAAGTGGATGCTCTGAACGTGTAATTTTTGGAAGGAGCGCGGCTATCAAAAAATGAACAAGAAAGTAATTCTCAAACCAAGCGGTCTAAGAAGAATTCGGGAAGCCCACTGTGTAAAACCTGAAGAAGACAAATTTTGCATTTCTTTGGCCAAAATACAGCAGCCCTAGGCTCTCAAGCCTTTGATCTTTGACGTGCTCAGCTTATACAGTACTAAATTTATTGCTCTTTCTTTTACAAACTTGTATTTATTATAAAATACTAAGTAAAAATATTCCTAAAAGTCTGTTTTTAGTTAGTGTTTCATTATCCGGTTAAGTTTTTATTTTTATCAGATGGGTCCAAAAATTCGTGTCGTCTTTTAGTCCTATCATTAAATCATCAGAATAACGATATATTAACGATATGTAAAACTACGTTGGCTGCTGTTCACTAAGCTCTGAATGCAGAGATAAAATTAGAAAAAGGAAATCATTTTAATTTCGGAATTTTTAAGCAAGCCCGTTAAAAAATCAAAAAGTGTGCCATAAAATCCAAAACAGGCAGTATCCTAGGTTTTTTGATCCCCTCTTCCCAGCTGAGCAAAATTCGCGCTGATGGAGCTTTTTGAAAGAAGTTATGATTTTCGAGAAAAAATGCCAAGAAATCAGTTTTTAAGAAAATTGATTTTTTGACATTTTTTCAAAAAGTCATAACTTTTCGGAAAACAGCTCGATCAGCGCAAATTTTGCTCAGCTAGAAAGAGGGGTTCAAAAAGTCTAGGATACTGGCTGTTTTGGATTTTATGGCACAGTTCTAGATTTTTTAACGGGCTTGCTTAAAAATTCCGAACTTGAAGTGATTTCGTTTACCCAGTTTTATCTCTGCTTTCAGAGCATAGTAGATAGCAGCCAAGATGTTTTTAGAAAGATGAAGTGCTGTTTTCAATATGGTTTTACTCTTGCAAAAACATTGTGTTAGGAAGAAGTTACGATTTTTTGAAAATGGTGGGACAGAACTTTTGGACCAACCTAATACAAACACTTTGAGCGTTTTTTATGCACAATTTCTTTCCCTTTTCAGCAGTGTTGTTTTTGTTCGAATTCTTTTATGTTCTTTTGAATTATAGCCGCAATCTCCAACCCATGCATTTAATATTAGCTATTCTTTGAAATTTGTCTTGGAGTTTTGTAAAAGTTTTGAACAGTCAGCAGAGTAAACAAAATGCTACAAATCTGATTCGGCGTCGGCAGCTGGCTTTCCAGTATTTTTTGAAGACAAGTTTTTCAAAAATCTTCACATTTGCGAAGTCGTGAAATAGAAAAACGTTTCAAACACTATGAAGTCTTTGCAAATTGGATCCAAAAATCCATTATGATTGAACACTAATTTTAACAAACAAATGAGTTCTTGCCTCTAGAAATTGATTTCTGAATTTTTGATGTAGCCTGGGGCGCATGAAAAAAAAACTGGAGTTATGGCAAATTTTCCCCGAGGCACATTATTGCTGGAAAGAGGGAGAAACTAAAAGTCTACGAATCAGAAAGAAAAAACGCAAAAAGAAGAAGTTGCATCGAGATACCCTAGCTGTCCATCATATGTTCTACGAGGTTCGTGATGAACAATCACCAAATCTGATACCATCAAAATGATAATTCAAAAAAATTAAAAAGCCAGCTATCAATGCCAAAAGTTATTATATTACACTTTGCTTACTATATCTAACTATTACTAAAGCATTTTCAAATGTTCAAAACGAAAATTCAAAAAATCAGCAAAAGTTGTGAAGATTGATTAAGGCGAATGTCAAAGTAATCCGAACAAAAAGATAATTGCTGGAAAGAGGAACAAATTCTGCATAGAACAATTTTTAGAGTCTTCAAGCTCCATTATTGATAAATCTTGGCATGATGTAGATATTCGTATATGTTTACTTGAGCCGATCACCAAGATTGTAGCAGTCTTTACTCAGTCGTTTTATTTAGTAAAGTTTCGGTCCCTTCACCTTCGTCGGAGCCTGAAAAGTCGTAAACATTAGCGTTTGTTTTCCCGACCACCTCGTTCAATCCAAGGCTAAGTTCAACATCAGGCCAGGCTAAAGTGACGGAAACCGTCGTTCATGTTCACCCCTTCGAATCGGGGTCGAGCCGCCACCAAACACAGCGTATAGACAGTCAGTAGTAGTAGAGGTAATAGTACAAGTGCCTTATATAGATTAATTTAATCTCGGTGTAGATCAAATCCGCAAAGGGAGTGTGATATGCGACTAGATCACTATTCATGGCAACGAGTAGTGGAGTAGTTTATCAAATAACTTGTCGAATTTTTGGTCAACCAGGCGATTGCATGGAAGCAGGAGTAGTTTATCAGACAACTTGTCAAACTTTTCTGATCAAGAACGGGCTACAGCGTTGAGTCTTGCCAGACAGGCGCAGTCTAATGGTTATCCCATACACCATTTATCAAAGCGTACCTGGCAAGAATACAGACCGCGCACAAGCAGGAATGAAGCAAAAATACCTTTTTGTGGAACTTTTATATCTGAAGAATTCAGCAAGGCGGTAAGAAGAAGTTTAGAATGCAGGCCTCAACGACTCCGTCAGAATTGTAGATATTAGGTCTTCTAGTCTTAAAAAACAAGTAATTTGTAATCGCTCTTACGATCGGCTATGCATGAATAGCGATGTACCGTATGCCCATTTGGTTAACCAGGCGATTGCATGGAGGCAGGAATAGTTTAGCAAATAATTTGTCAAACTTGCAGGTAAGAATACTCAAAAGCAGTGGCTCGGCAAATTTCAACCTAGTCAAATTTGCGCTTATCTGGGGTTTTTCAATACGCTGCCCGAAAATCCACTTTTAAAGCTTGAAAACGGCGGAAATAAGCGTTTTTTAATGCCCTTCCCTTTGAAATTGGACGAGTGGAGCGAGGCCGATGACGCTAAATCGTTGCAGGACTCAATGATTAAAGCGTTGCTGCGGGCAGCCTCCAATGGCGAGAAGGTAACTGCCAACTCGCCTAGATGCGTGTAAGAATGGCCTGCTCGTGTAAGTTTGAGAGCGATTTTCTCGGCAAGGAGAGCATGCTGTGCAACCGGGATTGCACTGTTTTTACACTTGAGCAATAAGGAACCTACCGCGTTAAAATTTGAGTTGTTGGATTTTGCCGATCCACTGCCCATAAGAGAGATTGGCAGGCCTTATGTGCGAGAATCAAAGATCACCTATATGGCGTTACAAAATCTAAATCGAACACCCCTCTAGGTGCAATCGCAGAGAGAATCACATGGATAAACAATTTGATATAGCCGTCATAATCTTAACGCGCGAACCCGAAATAATTCCTCGTAAGATGCTAGAAGCATGATAACATCCAAAGCTTCTGCAATGAACCGCAAGGAAGAAGACGTTGCCATGAATGATGATCCGATCGCATACCAGTCCCTTTGCGGATTTGATTTATACCGAGATTAGATTCTTCTATATAAGGCACCTGTTGTAATCTCTACTATTACTGGCTGTGCAGACGTAGCCTTGCTTTGAAGAGGTGTTCAGGAGAACAAACCCTGATGTGTACGACCTTCCAGGCTCCGACGAAGGTGAATGCACCAAAACATTAGCCTGACTAAATAAAGCTACAATCTTGGTAATCGGCTTAAGTAAACATATACGAATTTTTGAATTGTTTCCCTAGCTGTTTTGAATGATTTGAGGACAAGTCTAAAAAACGTCAAGAACTCCAGACTTATCCAATATTTCCTGATAACTATTGCCTAGACTTTTTGACCAGTCGTAGGCGCACTTTTTGTGAAGTAATTCAAAAAATCTACCAATCTATAATTTTAAAGAAATCAGGAAAGCGCGAGAGATGACTGCACTGCATCGCGAGAAAACCTGACATTAGACCGGCACTATTTAGAGGCAGAAATGGGTTAGTACACAACTTAGTTTCATCCGAGGCAGCTAGCTCATATCTTAGGCCATCCTGCTCTTTTCATTCGTGATATCTGAAGGATAAAAAATAAAGAATTCGGCTCACCATCTGCTCAGGCAATCGCCGGGGGCAAGCGGGCACCGGAAAAATAGATTGCTGATCTCTCGCACCCCGCTCGCGGATTTTTTGGAAAGCAATCAGGACTTTTCTGAAGACCGCTTGCTGAGTTCTCGATTCCTCAGAGATTCAGCAATATATCTGCAAAAGATAAGAGCGAAAAAAATTCAGCAGGCGGTCTCTCAAAAATCCGCTGACTCAGCAAGCGGTCTTCCGAAAAGTCCTAATTGCTTTGCAAAAAATCCGCGAGCGGGGTGCGAGAAATCAGCAATCTATTTTTCCGGTGCCCGCTTGCCTCCAGCGATTTTCTGAGTGCTGGCATGCGCGAACGCACCCCATTTCATTGTCGAAAAGGCTACAGATTGCGTGCGAGCCTAATAAAATGACTTGCGGGCCAACCGATTACCAAGTCACTGCATTTAACCTCCCACATTACCCTGATACCAATTTACAGGCCCCGGGGGGCAGAAGACTTGGCTGGCTTAGGAGCGTGATCGGACCTGTGTCCGATTTGGTCACGCGACGCCTTACCACTACGCTCCGTCTCCATATCCGTGATATATGAGAAAACCACAAAGTTATTGAAAAGGGAAACTTATTCTTGCAAGATATATAATAAGCCATATTACTATACGTGCATGCGGAAGGTCGAGCTATCAAACCTACTGTCTATAAACCGCAATTTTTTCGTAACAAATCTTTGAGAAATAAAATCATGCAATTGCGACTTTTTCTGCCTTTGGACTATCAAATGAATGCATTGAGACTAAAAGTTTTAGGATTTTCTTTCTTTAGGAAAGAGTAGGGGAACTTTTGAAATAACGTTACATCTACTCGACAATGCCAGCACTAGCTTTCGCAATTGAGTCATGTACAATTGTGACAAATAAGCATTTTGTTTACTATTAGGTTGGTAAGGAAGTTCTCGGACGCTTTAAAACAAAAATTTGCTCTAATGCGAGCACCAAATAGGGCATGCAGAACACTATTAGATAGACGAAAGCAAGCTCTACAAGATATTACTAATCATAGGCATAACCAAGAGATTTTTCTGAAATGGAGGCGAAAATTAGATGACATTAAATTTTGTCAGAGCTCAGATCTGCACCTTCCATGCATGCTGTGACAATCGCAGATACTCCATAGTAGACATCATCTCACTTGCTATGCAAAGTTTGTACGGAATTCGACATTAATTAGCAAGAAAAATGAGTGAATCAGAATGTAGCAAACTTCGCTCATAATAGCACCAAGCACCTCGCACCTCCACGTTATAAGCCACTTACATGCGAGTATAGCTACAAGTTTTCACGTTCGTGGGTGCATTGGCATCTAAGGGCCGCATGCACTAACCTCCCCGCTGGGGAGGGGATCGCAGCTTAAAAGAAAGCTTTATATTTCGAAACTCGAGATACCTGGATTTCACATTGTGTACCTATCCGTAAGTATTCCTACTACCTTTCACTATAAACATGTTGAACAGGAGCGAGAAGCTGTACGAACCGCATTTCCAAGCTTTTGTATAATCCCTGATGATCCCCGGCGCTTTTCTTTAAAGTCATTATTCATTCTCCGAAGTTAACGAAAACCTTCCAAAGTTGTACTGAACATCTAACACAACAGTGCTAAGCATGTTGCTGATGAGAACAAACGAGTTTTTGAAAAGTCGAATTTTTCGGTAAACCCCAAATTTCGACCTGTGGATCATCGAGAATTTCATGACTCTAAAACATCATTTGTTTTTATCAGTAACATGCTTAGCACTGTTGTGTTAGATGTTCAGTATGATGTTCAGTACAACTTTGGAGATTTTCCGTTAACTTCAGAGAAAGAAAAATGACTTTAAAGAAAAGCGCCGGGGATCATCAGGGATTACACTAAAGCTAGAAAACGCTGTTCGTACAGCTTCACGCTCCTCTTCAACATGTTCATAGTGAAGGGTAGTAGGAATACTTACGGATAGGTACACAACGTGAAATCCAGGTATCTGGATTTTCGGAATATAAAGCTTTTTTTAAGCTGCGATCCCCTCCTTGCGGGGATGTTAGTGCATGCGGCCCTAAGAAATTTTAGTTTGAAAATGTCTGAGAACTTTCTTACCAACCTAATAGCTCAGTGTCCGTAACCCGCCAATTACGGACAATATGCCATTGTAGTGTAATTCCTTTCTTGAGTGATATATATATAAGAAGTTCAACTATGTCAAGAACTTACAGAATTGTTCTGATAGAAAAAATACAGATTTCTACAATAAGTCCGGTAGAGCTTTTGTACTATAAATGAATTAGCTTTTCAGATTTTCCTAACTCTCTGTTGGATGGGAACCTTCGCACTTGCCGTTATCTATTCCTTGGGTAAGCTCAATGATAGGTATCATTTCATTGAAATAGCAGCTACATTCGATATAACATTCGATAAATAATGTTCTGGAATGCGTTTTTTTGCCTTCCTTTATTTGTTATCTCAAGCTCTAAGATGTTACTCGAAAGAAGACTATCATATGTAGTTTTTTAGCTTTTCCATATATGTTCATAAACAAGTGCAACCATTTCGACCATTTGCCATTTTCGCGTCAACAGAAACTAGTTTTGGAAAATAAGCTAAGCAAAGAACTTGCAAAAAGACATGCTCTAATCATTGTATGCTTTGATCGTTAAGACCTGCAATTAGAATGCAGAAGACAACTTTGCGTGATGTGGGTATTTCAGTTAGACTTAAGCTATGTTTTTGTTTCTTGTATTGGAATACCTTTTTGTGGCACCGTGACGAAATTCTTAGGAGCATCCTGCCTGTGTGTAGACTTCCTGAGAACCGCATCATTCCCAGAATTCGCATTTAAGATTTCGCGGTAAACCGTTGCAGTTCGTTTTAAAGTAGTGTGCGCGTTTGTTAACTGACCTCACTAAGTGCAGATTGGACATGAGGCTCTCACATTGCAGATGCGTAGCCGCACACAAAGTAACACTGTTTTTGAAACATACTCTATATATATATGGCATCGTCTATGTTGCCCTTAAATGTAGATGTCAGGATTTAAAAATCGATTATAGGTTTGTACTTACAAGAAAGTGTGTTGAAGTGACTACTCCAAAGAAGCTGCATACCATTAGATGCAGCATAGAACGCTAACTGCAAGTCTGTCTCTCATGTCTGTTGATAGCCCTTGTGGACAAAGTTATGAGCAGTTTTCTTGCAAAAAATCGTAAATGCAAATTGCAAAATCAAAGACGCTTTTGCCTTTTTTGCTCACTTTTGATTATGAGCTATGCAAAATAAGCTAGCGCTTGACCCTGAATCAAGCCGAACATGGGTTTGTATATCCAGATTTGCCTTTCGCATGTAAGATTTCATCGCAAATTATCGGCGCATGCCCACAAATTCATTCAGCCAAATTTGGAATCAACTTTTCATATTAGCATCTATGCAGGCTTGAATTTGCCACGACTTCTATCCGTTCTCTTGTTAGCATTCTGAGTATGTTTAATTATTGCAGGCGAAATTGGATATCTTTTTGATGCGGAAACACTCATCTGGCAGGGAGACGGCAAACCAAAGTCTACTGAGGCTTTTGAACTAATCGGCTTAATTGTCTATTTATCGACTGCTGTTATGTTCATTTTGAATACTGTCACGTTCGTGAAGTTGATCATGCTTACTGTAAGTACTTTTCTTGAAAGCTAATCTTATTTTTAATTCACTTTCAGAAATCAAACACTGTATTATCAAGCACGGAAAGCACAAAGAGAATGAAGCGAAATCGAGTACTCTTCGTACAGGTATCTCTCGAATAATGGGTTAAAATTATTCTGCAAATTAACTTCAGAAAGTTCTGCAAGATTGCTTATATTTGGTCGACATGTTGTTCGCTCAAGCATTGTCTGAATTGTTACCTTATAATTGGTGGCAATTTTTGTGCTCTTCTTTCGTGTGGTTGACTCTGAACACTTTGGACGGGTGAAATTGTTCTGAAGTGTTTGACAATTATACAAAAATCGTTTCAGATTCATCATGATCATATTTGTCAAAGATCTCAATGATCCAATCCGCAAGCGAATTCGTCAGTTCACAGTGTCTTTCTTCCCACATCTACAAAAATCAAATGATCTCTTCATAAGACGGCAGTCAAATGTGGTCACCAAAGCGACCATTTCTTCATAGAGCTTACCTGTCAATTATTCTGGTCGTATGAGCCAGGTACTTTCCCAAGCATAACAGCGACGTCTTATGTGAAGATGTAAATAAAGACTTTTTTCAATACGTGCCCTTTGATCCAACTGGCTTGGCGGCTGGAAATCGGGGCTTCTTGACCTAATTAAGGTTAGGTATTGATCAGAGAGCACGGCTTTGGAGTGTCGCAGACTGCGTCACGTGCGCGAGCGGTTTGTTTAGGTCCCAAATCCCCGCCTTCCAGCCCCCAAGCAAATTGAATCAAAATTTGTAAGTTCGACGCCTTACTTAAGTTCACATTGATTGGAAGTGTCCAGCTCCTACGAACTCATCAAACTCATACAGGTATCGGACATAATTTTAGATGGCTATTATGGATGCGGAAATAATGTACTTTATCGAGGCAAATGCAACTCAGCGTAGAGACGAATATCCTGCAATGTGCGATATCACAACGGCATGAGGCTATTGAGTCTGTGAAACACGTACTGATAAGAAAAGGTCCTATGCCTAAAATCCAAATAAGTTAGGAAAGTCTATAGTTACATTTCTCCCGTTTTCGATTTTTCTTTACTCTGAGAAAAAATTTGTTCACTAAATCAGATTGCGATCCACAATTTGTTAATTGAGGAAAAGGAGTTCTACTTGCAAAAACTCCTTATTTCTATGAACTTTCACTAGTTTTTATTTTTACAAAACTCATGTTACACATCATCATGCAATTATCACACTTGAAAAGTGTGTTGATTTGCTTCTTGATTGGATCGGAACTAGTTACTAAAGCAAGCTATGGGAAAAACACGCAATGATTGGATGTAATCGTCAAATGATACAGGGTGTCCCAAAAAAATGTTAACACTGTTTGATCGTTAATAACTCCCTTGCTTTCAAGTCTTTCGCAGAGCTTCAGGTATCATTTTGTAGAGCGAGGATAAACTTAGATTTACAGTATCGAGCGAATCATCTAACGCTCCTCGTTACTGTAGAATTACGGTAGGAAATTCCAGCATGTGGAAACGCCATGAAATATGCCCTCTGACAAAAATTTTTTCAAAAAGTCTGAAAAATCGTGTACTAGGGTTTTCGCGCACGCTGATTTTACTACACAACTTTTTGCGAGTGTTTTCAGCTTTTTTGAAGGTGTAATCACATTTCTGACACATGCTGGGAAGTCAGTTATTACACTTTACCTAGGATAACTTTGAAAAGAAGTATCATAATGAAATGAAAATTTCATATCCGAAATCAGCGGCTTTCATTACCATAGTACAAGAGATTTTGGCTTGTTGGCTCTGTTTCAAAGCAGAAAATGGGCTTCAATGGCCTGAAATCTGTCAAATTTCCTACCGTAATTCTACAGTAACGAGGAAAGTTAGATGATTCGCTCGATACTGTAAATCTAAGTTTATCCTCGCTCTACAAAATGGTACCTAAAGCTCGGCGAAAGACTTGAAAGCAAGGGAGTTACTAACGATCAAACAGTGTTAACATTTTTTTGGGACACCCTGTATAATCAAAGAAATATTTGCGTTAATTCAGAATACATGTATTCTAGCGAATTGCGAATATGCGGCGTAGCGTAACACATCATAAAAAGTTTTTTCGAAACTTGTTTGACCATGCAGCATCGAACTCCTCAGCAATCGCGTTGTGGGTCACAATCAGGGATTTCGTCTTGCAGGAAAAGATTTCGATGACTGGTCAACTGCTGTACGTCGCGGGGTGTGTACGATTCTGCAATGAGAGTTGCTATTCTCAATTGTTTTGCCGTCAGTCCTTTTATAAGGTCCTCCCTCACATCGTTTACTTGCTCCCAAGTATAAGCCTGGAACACATATGTTATGCATGAGAGCGTGGCTTTGTGCACCCTTACATAGTTATTTCCAACATGGTAATACTTCCGGAAAAACTGGTGCAATGCGTGTGTAGACCTCAAGCAATTTTCCTCATTTGCTTGTCTTCTTCTTTCCATTTCCCGCTTGAAATGAAGAAAAGGCATCTGTAACTTCAGTAACATTCTCACGGCACTGATCAAAAATTCCTGCTTACGTAAACACCATTTTTCTTGGCCCAATTTAGCAGTCGACTATTCCACTCATGTCCTGTCAAAGTGTTGTCCTAAGTTCGTTGAGTGAGTAAATAAACAGTCAACATAATAGAAAAAAGGGACTTGCCCCAAAAATTCGCAGGAATTCTCTTGTAGCTGGATAGTCAATATCGTCAAATGGAAAAGTCGGTAGCACCGAAAATCTTTCAATACTCTCCTGCTCTTGTTGCTGGAAATACTCGACATTTTCTACCACTAGTTCGCATGGTCTCGTAAATCAAAATAAGCTTTGAGTGTTGATTAAAATAGCTGGCGATATTTTGAAGACAAGAAATTGAAAATTGCGGCAAATCCAGTCACGCGCTCAACTATAATTAATTTACCTTGATCCTTTCAGTTTCTGCAGGAACATTGAACCCAGGTTTGCTTGCTGTGGTGCAGCATGTCAAACTAACGAGAATTACCAAAATCATGCTTGATGACAGAATCCCATCAGGTTAAGAAAAGACTATGAAAAAGGAAAGATTAAAATAAACAGTAGTCACTACATATGCCCACTAAGGCTTGAGTTGCCATAAAGCAAACACACTCTTCAAAGTTATGTATGAAAGGGTATACCACAAAGTGGATGGCGAGTAGAAGTCATGTCCTCTGCGCTACATCATGGCTGGTCTACTTGCGAGCCTCGAAAAAACAGCAATCATACTGCTTCATGTTCAGCACTTCACCATAATTGAACATAAGTTCCTTGGTTCATAGTGACAAGTCTTTAATTATATTGAGTTGGTGAAAGTAATGAACAATACTTATCCTGCCGCGATAGGATTTGTAAGGTTATAAAGAAAGTTCTGCCAATTCTTCTCATAATTACCGAAAATGAATGCGAATGCAAGGGGATGGTTTGATATGTGTTCTTAGTGTGCGATGGTTCCAGCTACCCTATGCTCGAAAAAATGACGATCAACTAGGATGAAATGCCCAAATAAGGAGAAAATTTCGTTGGGTTTAGGTTTGCGAAAAGGCACATTTTTCAGATTATGGACGCGCAAAACTTTCGAAAGCTTGATTTGGAAATCCGTTTTATACCCTGTATATTGGCTAGATAGAGCGATATCGGACTATTACCTGCCCCAGTACCTGGGCCTTTTTGCAAGCAAAAAATAACTTACTGAATTCAGAAGTCATAAAATCAAACTCTCCACTTGTTTCGAAACGCAGCCAGCGCGCTTCTCGAAAAGAGCAATTATGACATACCTAATCAGTAGTCTAGGGTTGTAGTACACATGGCCAAACCAAAATGCTAATTGACAGCCACTCATGATGAAGATATACATGAAACAATTTAGCTCAACGTCTATTGGCAGCACTTTCTTTACAACCTAATAAAATTGTGTGAGCTATATCATTCAATAGAGCAAAGCAAACTCTATAAAATGTCGCTCGAATAGTCGAAACTTCCTTACCTAGGACGAAGAGAAATTTAGAAAATTTCAAGTAATCAAATATTGATTTTCGTATAAAAATACACATCCCCAGCTTGCTCAAAAAAGTTTTTCTAATCAGCTATGCCGGGCTCAACAAAAGCGATTTTGTACTACGTACCTTTGGAAGTATAACATTAAATTTCCAGCCTCTAACAAGCGATGATCATGAAAAATATCAAATTTGAAGTGTAAGCCCAAAAAAAGTGATGTATCTTATTTTTGGCCTATTATGCCGAAAAATGGCAAAAATCTATTCAAATATTTGATGTGGAATATGTGCCTGACAAAGTTGGAGGTTTGCACGATTTTTTGGACAAAGTTCTGATTTTTGTATATGCAGACCAGCTCAAACCTTCCTTCAAATTTTACGTGGATCGAACTTTCTGCAATTATTGAAACGCCATCGTTTAGAGCTCGCGTGCTCTCTATTAAATGATATGTTCGGAACATTTTTATATCTTCTTGTTGCGGTAGAATAAGAAGTCCTCATTAATTTTGCACAACCTATTATAAAACTCTCCGACAAAAAAACACGTGGGCTTAAATATGATTTCCCTACAGGAGAAAACTATTCTACTTATTTTGAAAAAAACAAAGCTGTCAGTTTCTTGGTAAAAAAAGTTACTTTTTTTGAGATGTGCCCTGATTAGGTTGAAGGCAAAAACGCGAACAAATCCTGCTTAAGAATTTGTTCGGGGTGCCCTAAAGACCTCTGCAAAATTTTGCTTTCAGGTTTTTAGCATCTTCGGAGTCTTACCATCATGCTGAACCATGTCCGAGCCTTGCAGCGCACGAAAATGGCGAAAATGAGGTTTTTTAGAAGCCTTATGTCCGCATCATTTTGCTGGGATGCTGCCTTCAAGTATTCTTGGACCTAACTTTTTCTCAGTGCAAAAATGCCTTGCTTACAGCCACATAAATGACAGCCAAGATGAGTTTGGAAACTCTTCCACCACACAAATAGGGTGAGGATCAGCAGGCTATAATATAATGACATTTGTTTCACTTTATCAATCTACAGTGGGCTTGAAGCAATTTCTTTGTTCAACAAGCAAAGATAAACTTTACGTATTTATAAATTCGTAAACGTCCTCCACATGATTCTGACTTACAACGTAGCTTGTTACCGTCCTTCATGCATTGGCCAGTGTCTAATCATGATATCATGCAAAAGTCGCAAGCTGAGCTTCATATGTTTGACCGGTATTTCTGTATTAGTGATATTTGGAGATTGTACAGTGATCTTCCACGTTATGTGCACTAGCGAAACCCCAAACCGCTGGACTTTCATCAATTTCCATAGCAAATTGCAACAAATCTTCATTAATTACATCACTCCTTTTCAAATCACCGTTACTCTAGCCATGAATTGCAAAGTCCGAAATTTAGGTGGCTCTAAAATGAGAAGCATTGTCTATTTCTTTGAGCGAAGGAAGGTATCGTCGACTCTAAAAATCGTGACGACGGTCTGCAGTGCGGCCAGTGCGCGCCGCACGGCACTGCCACCTAGTGATTCGCCCAAATTACGTGGAGAAGGTGAGTTCTTGTGGTTTTTCTTTTTCTTTTTGCATCTTTTTTGCTTGCAGGAACTTTCATGGCTACCGCAGGGAGCCTACACTGCAGAGAAGCAAGATTGCCCTACGATAAAGCGGCAGTGCCGTGCGGCGCGCACTGGCCGCACTGCAGACCGTCGTCACGATTTTTAGAGTCGACGATACGAGTGGTTTTATAATGTGTTAGACTCTTCTCGTGTTGTTAGGCCTGGACTATCTCATACTGTGAAGCGCGTAGGAATGTCGATTCATTCAATCTACATTTCTAGTAAAAAAGAGGAGCAATCCTAAGAATTGTGACCTTCTTGCGGTGCAGGCTGCGGATAGCGGGTTGATTAACATCGTGGCGTTGACAACGCTAAATTAGTAACTGTCAAAGGTTGTCAAAGACTGTGTAATGACTGTCAAAGAAGAAATCATGACCATGACTAGATGGAATGGTAGTAGATGACCATCCCATTCTAGCAGAATATCTTTCGAACAAATTCTCGGGAATTATGTCAGTTAATGTACAGTCAAGCGATAAAGACTGTCAGAACCACCATACATGGTTATTGGGCTTTGACTTTCTGAGAATTCAATCTGCTCTTTTATACTGTTCGATTAAAAACTGTACAAAAATGGTAGACTTGTCAGTGCACATATACACTGTTAGTTCCAGTTCACTGCAACACTTTGCAAAAGATAGATCATGCAACGAACTTTTCATAGTTTATTCAGTGTCTGTAATCGGCACTGATATAGGCCGTCCGCGCAGGGCGCGGAGAGTGCACAAGGTGTGTATTGCGCATCACTCCTCTTTCCTCGTGCACTCTCGCCGCCTGTTTTTCTCTGCGCTTCTTCCAGTCGTGAACTGCCTTCAATCTACGCAACAGCGTTGCTCTCCGTGCGCAGCGCGGACGACCTATACCAACAATATAGAGATTATTGCGCAGACGCAAGAAAAGGATGCGTAGAAAAATTAACAAGATTTGTCGAAAGAGTGAATTACAGTGACTTACTGGTGACCAGTACTTCGCAGTCTGAATCATTCCCATCAAAATCTGGGCTCCACTAAATTTCTTGACTTCTTTAATGGAAACATTGCTGCACCTTTGACTTGTAATGCATGATTAAATGTTTTCTGTCATTTCCTTCTGTTATGAAAACGGAACTTGGAAGCAGTATGGTGGGTCTTTGTCGACATCGTTCACATACAAAGCATCTCAACACTTCAAAGCCAGTACCAGTTGCCCGCACAGGCAGTGCCCATCGGTAACAAAAAGTGGGATAGTTTTGGTCCTCGCTCCGTACATTTTGAAACAATTGGCGCACCTTGCGGCGAAACGGCTAGGACTCGCCGGATCCTTTTCATAAAAAGTTTCGTTTTAGAAGGCTTAAAATCCGCATGCAGATTTCGTGCAAAAACATTCGAAAGGTTCGTACTTGAAATAGAGGTTAACTTTTCTTGTACATACGCAGAGGAAAACTGTTTCGAGGCATCCTAGCACAAATGAGTCAACTGTAAGACAATTTGAGATTTCGCGCTAACGTTGCGCCATACACTGACTCTCAAAAGTTGAACAGTCAGTAAAGCCGTGGTCGTACAACCTGCGAAAAAAAACTTTCTAAACCTTCTCCAAAGAAAAGGTAATACAAGAAAATGAAGAGCTATCTATGGAAATAGCAATGTAAGAGCACAGGTCACGGAGTATCGCGCAAGATACGCGGTAACCACCACAATTGGCTCGACTGCGCTTACTTTTTCAGAACATGCAACATTACTGAAATCCTAGAACAAGGGCAAGTGAGGGGTGGAGGGGGGAGGGGGGGGGGAGATATGTGCCGAGTTTATCATGGCACTTCCACGCGGGACCGCAATCATGCGCGACACATCCTGAGGAGGAGTAGAAGCATAGGTGCGATAGGGGGAGCCGGGCCCACATCAGGTGAAGGGGGTCTCCGCTACTCACATTTTTGTAGGGTGAAGGGGGTAAGTGAACCCTTAAAGCGAAATGCCCTAACAAGCTACATACAATTCGAAAGCTGAGATCATGGAAAATCGGGTAACATTATCGAATATTCCTAGATTTTTTGGGCCGGAATATGTAAGCGATTTTATCTGGACAATAAAGACTTGCTCTGTAACATAGATAGATAATCAGTGGTAGTTAGATCTTGTTGGGCAGAAATCTGCTGTTAAAAATGGAAATAATTTTAGATAAAATGTGACGTATCTCTTGGTAGAGTGGGGCTAGAAGAAAGTCGACGGCCTACTTCGAATCCCTGTTTCCTAAGCTTTCGAATGGTATATAGGTTGCTAAACCAAGATGCTCGCCAATTTTCAAAATATCCGAGTTTCCAAAAATGTGGTGGAGATATTTACTATTAGCTCGCTGCACCGCTCATCCAATGTATTCGCTTTTATTGGTCACCGGAGCAAATGTTTTTAGAGTCGGGAAGCAAAAAAGCCCTGGCATGCTATATAGGTTCGAAAGCTGAGATCATGTGTGGCGGCTCGGTGTGATCAGCACCTTGCCTAAAGTGCTCGCCGCAGCTACACCCAACTCCCGCTGTCCCCTACGATGTTGCGCGTCCACCAAGGTTCATGACGCCTTGACGGGCGCTGCCGAGGACTACCCGCTACGAGTATGAACAACACGATACATAGCGCGTAACGCTGACGAAAGAAAAGACGGCTAGTTCAGACTACGTTTATCTACAAAACACAAGAATAAACTACTAATACTACGAAAACTACTAAAACTACTAAAATTACTAAATATACTACTTCAAATCCAGGAAAAACTAAACACGGGACGAGCCGCCTCGTCCCGTGCTGCCGATGCTAATGGTGATCGACTTCAACAAGTAGTTCCGGGCTCTCCGCTGGGTCAACCGCAAGCCCCTAGCCCTTCCGGGACGGTGTGACCCCTCTCCACTCCCGCTAGTGTGCTTCCTGCGCAAGACGAACCGTGATGTTTAGCTGCGCGTCTCCAAAACCAAGAAGATAACAAAGGCTCAACCGCTCGAAACCGATGATCATCTGCGGGAGCTGTTGGAGGTGCTGCCAGCACGAACGAAATCATAAAACGATCAATACGAACGGAAATCAAAGAGGCGTAGACCGCGGCCTGCGCGCCCTTATATACCCTGTGACTTGGCAACGCGCCCAGCAGGAGAGGTCTTGGCGCGATCTTGAAAACGCGCCAAGTAACGCGATAGCCAGCGCTCCCGGCCTTCTGTTTCGAGGAGTGGCTTGCATCGCGAGCCGCGACACTCCCCCCCCCCCCCCGAAACAGTGGACTTGGACGTTCGGATGGTGGTTACGTGATAGCGCTGGAGTCCACAATGGAGAACACCTAACCGAGTATAGCCCAAAAAGAAACGTCGCCATCGGCAGCACAGTGGGGGCGCGCGACAAAAGAAATGAACAACTCGGCCCGTGCAAATATGCAACACCTTCACAAGGGCGCTATCGCGCTCGAATACTTGATACAGTTCTACACCAATGCGCACGACGCGCCAACTAAACTATGGATGATAACATAAAATAAAATACAGCTAAGAAGGATGGTGAAAATAGCTGAACGTCCACAGTTAGTGAAGGTGAAACAGACTAATGTATTGATGACTGGGCAGGTAGATGCGGTAGTACTTGCTGTTGGTGCCATGGAGCTGATAATCGGACATGCGCATTCGAACAACCATCCATAACCAGGTGTGCTCAACCAAATGATGCAATTCTGCAACACACATTATTCACGAGGTCAAAATCAAACAAAATCGGACCGTACATACCGAAACAATCTGCATCCATAGTGGTGTTGACGCACTACCTACCCTAGAAGGTCCCAAAATCCTGCGCTCACGTCTGAAATGATGTTACCGAGGCGCGCGAGCGCTTCCTCCCATGCGCGATCGGGGACCTGGTACTTATAGATGGCAATAAAAAACAAAATCGCGCAGGCTGAAGATGTTAAAAAATGGACTTCAGTCCAGCCTCCCACGACAAGGATTTTAACGCGCGGGCGTCCTCTACGCAAACTGCGCAAGGCACAAGGTTAGCAAATACGCGCAAAAAAAAGGATAGCAAGCTTTTCTACTACCTAAGGCGCGTATGCGCAACAAAAAGTAAGATATGTAAAATGCACAAAGTACACATGCGTAACCTTGGCTGCTTGAAATAACACGCACGTGCGCTGAATACCTGGCAGTATATACGGCGTAAGAGGTGCTTGACCTGGGCTGGGCGAAGTCAGAGTCTGATCCGAGGGAATCCAAATCCGTGGCTGTGGCACTGCAAAAGCTATGCACAGAGAAGTCATAATCGGGTAAAAAAGTCATATAAAGGTATTAGCATGTCCAGTAAGCAATCAAGTGAACCGACACCTAGTTTATTCGAAGATCGAACTCTTGACACAAAATTCATTGGATTGAAGTAAAAATATGATAGGCGCGTCCTCGCGCAATACATCATACTGCATACGTACAAAACAAATAGGATAACAAAGCAACAATAAACAACAATGAAATCAACAAATAACAATTAAAACTAACAATAACAACATACGTTTGTAGAATGATGATTGCACTATCATTTTGCCTTCACTGTCCTTGATGATTGAATCCGTGTCGCTCTACGCTCCTGAGCGTTCGTCTGGAGATCCTCTGTGTCTGCTGCACTGATCTCTAACGGCAGTAGATGATTGAGTGCGCGGTCCACTATCTTTCGCTTTCCAATCTTAATTCTGGCTGATCTTACATTGCCGTCGGGTGAGGTGTGTAACTGCAGGATGAGGCCAAGCGGCCATCTAGATCTTGATAAATCCTGTTCTTTTATTAGTACTACGTCTCCTACGCGCGGCGACCTTTTGGTACCGCAGCCCTTCTGGGTGCGCGTCGCTTGTTGTTCTGCGAGCGCGGCGAGGTATTCCTTGTGCCATATATCCCAGAAATAATCAAGATCAGTCTGCAACAGCCGGTACTGCGTCTTCAGGGATTCGTAGTTATCGCGCGACGACGTCTCGATCTTCTGAGGCATGCTGTACGTCAGGCGACCTAGTCGAAACTGTGGATTTATCAGATCTATAGGTCTTATCACCAGGTCCGTGTTCGAGTTAGCCGAATTCGCCGGAAATAAGGGTCTCGTGTTAAGAACGGCCTCTATCTCGAGGATAAGCGTCTCAAAAAGCCATAAGTCGAAGGTTTCTCGCCGAACCGTCTTCTTCAAACAGCTCTTCACTGATCCTACCAAACGCTCGTAGAATCCACCTTTCCACGGCGAGTATGGTGTAATAAAAGTCCAATTGATGTTCTGGCTTTCGACGAATCCGTCCACTAGGGAATCTTCTGCTACTTCCTTCAGGCTATTGGTAATGATCTCCCTTCCTAGCTTGAACGTGGGCGCGTTGTCGCTTATGACGGTGTCAGGAGCTCCTCTGCGCGCAATGAATCTTCTAAATGCTAGGAGAAATTGAAAGGTTGAGTTGTCCTTGACTACTTCGAGGTGTAGCGCGCGCGTAGCCATGCACGTGAAGAGACAGACCCAAACCTTATGGAGGATGCCTTGATGTAGACGGACTGAAATAGGGCCAAAATAGTCGAGTCCGATGTTCTGAAAGGGGCGACTTCGAACGACCCGTTCCGGTGGAAGATCTGGTGAACGTGGATATGCGAAAAGATGGCCTTGGTACCGCTTGCACGTCACACACTTAGCAATAGCTGATTTTACCATACGTTTGAGCCTGGGAATGTAGAACCTCTCGCGTAAGGCTGCGATCAAATGGGAAGTACCGGCGTGGAACAGCTTCTGATGGTAGTGAGCTATTAGCATGGCGCAAAGGGGATGACCTGAGAGTATGAGGATTGGGCTCTTTGCCGTCCCGCTCGTCTCTGCGTTCGCCATACGTAAGTCCACGCGTATCGTACCGTCTCCTTCTTGCCTTGTGCGGAGTTTCTTCAGATGAAAGCCGTGTAACTGCTGAGGAACCTCGCGGTAATGCTCGCGGATAACGATCAACTCAGCAGCTGAGAAGTCACCCGGTGTTACAATGGGACTTGTGTCTATTGTGCCGAATAGTGGATGCTCGTCGGAGTCATCAGCTCTATGGCGCGTCCTTACTAGACGGCGTAGCTTAGCTACATACTTCAGGACGTAGACTGTGATGCGGACGAGTCGAATATAGGAATTGGTCCGTCTAAACGGTACAAAGGACTGATAAGGTGCCATGATGGTATTGGCTGAAGTTACTAGTGCTGTGGTCGTCCGTAATTCTTCTGAATCTCCTCCTGCAGGTGGATTGGAAGAAGGGTTGAAGGACTTGCACGGCCAGTCAGCAAACGAAGTCGTGATAAACGATGGACCACTCCACCAAATGTGGTTCTCGAGCTCTACAGCTGTGAGTCCACGGGTGGCGCAGTCAGCCGGGTTAGCGTCAGTAGCCAGATAATAAAATCCACAGTCAATGTTGTCAGACTTAAGCTCGTCGAGAACCTGTCGGATGTACTTGACACGGTTGGCGACGTAAGTCTTGAGCAACTTGTTAGAATAAATCCAATACAGTACTATCTGAGAATCAGTCAGGAATCTGATGGAATTGAAGCGAACCTTGAGCTGGCTTTTCAGGAAACGTACTGTTTTTGCAGCCATGTGGCACGCCAAGAGTTCCATGCGCGGGATGGTGATCGCGCCCGATGGTGCTAACTTTGCCTTAGCAAAGAGTAGAGTGGAACTGGGAATATAGGTGGACGTGCGCGTCACGACATAGACTGCTACAGCATACACTCGTTTCGACGCGTCTGAACAGATGACGAGGTCGTACGCGTTGGCAGATGGATATCCTACAAAACGATGTAGTCTCAACTGAAAGCCGCTAATTTCCTGAACAATGGTATTCCATTTCTGGGTAGTACTTTCGTCTAACGGATCGTCCCACGAATAACCAGATTCCCAGAGGTCCTGTATAAACATCTTAGGTCTTATAAGAAGTGGGGTAAGAAGTCCTAGTGGATCGAAGATCGATGCATACGCTTGAAGCGCGGTACGCTTGCTCGACACTTCTTGTCGCGCGATCTCAATAGGCACGTGAAGTACATCGAGCTTGGGGTCCCATTTGATCCCTAGGAGCTTCACGAATCGTCCAGGTAAGGTCATACAATTCTCTTTTGGAATCCTAAGCATCGTCTGCTGGTTGTTAGACATGAACTCCCGTAGGTTCATGTGCATGCGACTGAAGATTTCCTTGCACTCCATCTGCTTCGTAAGACACTCCTTGGTGGTATTCGCTCCGATCAGCACGTTATCAACGTACGTGTTGGCAAGAATCTCTTCCTTAAGCCGGTTAGCAGGATCCCTCTCGAGGAAATATCTGATAGACATGTTGAGTAGAAACGGTGATGCGTTGATGCCGAAAGGAACGCGCGTAAAACGCAAGATCCGGAGATTCTCGGTCGACGGAAGTTGGTGGACATCTCTCAACCAGAGGAATCTTGTGCAATCCCTCTGATCCTGGTGTAAGTGGATCTGGTGAAAGGCTTTCTCTACGTCGGCGATCATCAGATAACAATGTAGACGGCTACGCAACAGGGTTCCTACAAGATCGGGTATTAAGGAGGGTCCTTGATGCAGACAATCGTTCAAACTGGGATGTCCTTTCTGATGGCTCGAGGCATCAAAGACTATACGAAGCTTGGTGGTCTGGCTATCCTCCTTATAGACTGCCTGGTGTGGGATGTAATACGTGTTAGGGCTCGTAGGGGGCAAATCCGTAACATCCTCGATCACGCCTGATCGTAACTGACGATCAAAGGTGTGGCAGTACTCGCTCCACGCTGATGGTATTGCATGGAGTCTCTCATACTGGCTCTCTAAGCGACGGAAGGCGAGAGCTTTGTTATCTGCCAAAGGAGGATGCTGGGATTTCCACGGAAATGCGACGTAGATGGATCCGTCGATTATCCTAACATTGTCGTAGAACTGCCTGATCACGTCGGCATCTGGTACATCTGAATCGTCTAATCCGAGTGTGTCTAGGCCGAGGAGACTTCGTAAAAGCTGTTCCGTTCCTGGCGCGTCATCGTTGAGTAGAGTCGTTGCCGAACTAGTAATCTCCGATACTACTGGATAACTAAGACCTGATAGAAACTGGTCCGAAGCGAGTGTGGAACAGAATGAGACCTGATGGAAGCTTCTCATTCCTATGCAAGTCCACAACGCGCCAGTAGTTATCTATTCCAATGAGTACGTCGACTTCGACTCTATCGTCCATATAGGTGTTGTTCGTATCATCCAAGTTGTTCGTCTTCGGGACCGTTGTGATGGTATCGCGCGTCCAAAGCTGAAGTTGGATTGGACGATCGAGCTGGTCCCATAACGTGAGTGTGACTTCTGACGAGTCTTCAGTGAACTGGTGTCCTCCGAAGGTCAGAGTCGTGACAGTCCTTGTATTCTTGAAAGTCAGGCCGAGATGGTAGGCCAACGAGGTACAGATAAAACTATACTGCGAACCGCTATCGAGAAAAACAGTAAGCAGTTCATCCGTACTAGTTTTGAGGTTCCGGGTTATAGCATGGACCACCATGAGACGAGGAACCTGTGTTGTAGAAGCAGCTTGGCACACAGACGTACAAGATGAAGGTGCATGTGGCCCTACGCTAGCTTCATGTTGGTCAAGCAACTCTGTGAACTCATCTGACTGGATGGAATCATGCGCGACTGGAGTGCAGGTGGAAGTTTGCACAGCGGGAAACGCGCTTGAAGATCTTCGAGGAAGAGTAGCGCGTCTAGAATTGGGACGTGACTGACGCCTAGATGGAGACGGCGCTTTGAATGTAGGTCGACGCGAAGGAGAAGTGCGCGGACTCGCGTTCTGGGTGCGAGGTGGTGAAGGGTGCGCTATCGTCTCAAACTGTACGCGTCTAGGTGAAGGAGTGCGCTGACGGAATTGCGCAGGTGGGTAGGACGAATAGGGCGTTGATGGTAATGTAGCACACAAAGCTGGATGGTAATCTGCCACAGTTTCTGCACGCTGGGGCTCTGCAGATGTTGAACGTGTGACCTTCTTCGAGACACAGCCAACAAAGTCTATACTGGTTGACGAGCTCTCTCCTCTGTTGCACGTCGCGTACTGTCATACAACACTCCGAAGGATGTCCATGACGAAAACAGAAGGCACAACGAGGCTCCCATGGTGTAGTGTACTGGGGTGTAACAGGGCTACGAGATGTGCGCCGCGGGTAATGAGGAGTTGGAGGTCTATAAGTGACGTCACGGTATCTTGGTGATGGTGAGCGCGAGCTACGCGCGTAACGTGGGTAAGCTGGTTGTTGCTGATACGATGGATACCTCATGTACGGCTGACTCGTGCCGGGATACCTGTACGGGGATGGAGAATGCTGACGAACTGTGGAATCCGAGTTATAAGCGCGATGACCTGCTGGATCGGAGTCTTCTACCACTTGCAGTCTATCAATGACCGTGCTGAGAGCTGACAACAGCTCGTCCACTGTCCACATAGAGTCACTTTTGCCCTTCAGTTCGCCAACTTTCTCGCGCGTACGCCAGGGAAACTTAGATCGGATTGTTCTCAACGTAGCGATCGAACTGGAGTCCTCGTTCAATTCCTTCATCTGGTACCAAGTTGCTTGGAGCGCGCAAAGTGTAGCGCGTTGCGAAATTGCAGAGTCTGATGCCGGTGACTGCTGCGACAACTTGTCCCACAATCGGCTTCTCAGAATCTCAGGACGATCGTACGTACTCAGAATAGTGCGTACTGCAGTGTCGTAGTTCTTCGCCGTTGGTTTGAAGCCTGCGATAATCCGAGCAGCATCTCCTCTAAGGACTGACTTCAAGTACATAAACTTGACTGCTGCCGGCACGGTGTTGTTATTATGCACGGCTGTAGAAAAGATGTCCCAAAACTCGGAGAATGCCTCGATATCGCCGCTGAAGGTTGGGATCTCGTAAGAAGGCAACTTTACAGGTTGCTCCAAGGGCAAAAAGGGGTTGAGGGATGATAAGGATGAGACTTGAAGGTCATGTGAAAGAGGATTTGGCAAAGAATTTGGAAGCCCCGTGGAGGAATTCAAAAGGTTGGGGGGGGTTCGAGGGAGGGTTACCCGAGGGGAAGCCAAATCCACCCGAAGGATGCGCGCCAGTATGGCTCGCAGGGGGACGCTGGTCAACAGGCGCTGTTGGGTCAGATGAACGACCATGACACGACGGAGAATGGCTGCGCAGTCCCACTTCCGCCTGATGCGCGTGTTGAGAGGATGGCGCAGAATCTTGGGTAGTATGGGGCGGGGAATTGCGCGGCAAGGATGGAGCAACAGATGGAACAGAAGATTGAAGGCCTCCCAAAATAGGAAGAAGTCTGATCGCCGAATCCAAGCGAACAAGAAGAGCATCCGCTTCCTCTAGAAGATCATCCATCCCACCGGTTTCCCAATGAGTATGGATGTCGGAGAGGAAAGGGAACTCTCCACGCTCGTCAGGATTCTGCCGAGCAAACTCTTCGGCTTTCTCCAACTGGCCACGAAGGGCAGAGGCAGCACGACTAATAGAAGAAAATGAAAGAGAAAAAGAATTCAAACGATTGAAAACCAAATGTGGATCTTTACTCGCCTCCGAAGCAAAGTCCACAAGATCGAGGTTGGCCTGATCGACTTCCGCGATCTTCTTGCGTAGTGAGTTAGCGGCCTTCGTAAGTTGAGCTTTTTGCGAACCGAGTTGCGACATTACCTGGAACATAAAAAAGCAGAAACGCAATATCAAAAATACAACAAGGTAAGCGAGCAAAAACTACAACTACAACCCCCCAAGATAAATGTGAAGTGAGTACATATAGAAAACCGGCCCTGCCTAAACCGTGCGCCAAAGCAAAGAGAATGGGGTAGTCCAACGGCAGTAGGGAGAATGAGGGCGCAAGACAAGCAGTTACGACAACGCGTCCGTCTAAGAGCCTAGCGCGGCACCTAAGTGAAACGCGTGTAACAGAACTAACAGAGCAAGTAACCGACCGGAGGCCAGTGTAGACACTGTAGGAGGCTCCAGCTTGGCGACCTGGAGGGGTTCGCAGAACCCATGGGCCAGTGAACCGCCAAATGCCTACCTAAACCTAAAGAATATACCTTACCTAAACTGAAGAAATATGAATTGCCTACCTATTTGCCGCGTCTTTATACCTGACCTATAACATGAGTGCCTTACCTACCTATGCCCTTTACCTAACGTGAGTACCTTACCTACCTATCCGCGCGGCCTAACCTAGATACCTTACCTACCTATCCTAGCTTGAACCCCACTAAAACATACCCCTACCTAACCCACCTAAAAACCAAACTTAGCCCTGTTAACCCAACCCATCCCCCGATCCTAAACCCCCTCACCTACCTAAAGCGAACCCAGTTACCCTCCTAAACCTAGCTAAAAACCCTGCCCCCTTAACCTGAGCCGCCTTGTCCCTAACCTAAGCCCCCTTACCTATATTGTGCCCTATACCTAAGCCAAATCCTTGCTAACCTATCCTAGACCCCCTTACCTAGCCCGAATACCCAGTTACCTATCCCCGGTTCACTCTCCTGTTAAGGACGGCGACGTGTGTGCCTCACCATAATCCGCGCATCCGAAATCCGTGTGTCCTTGAAACCTGAAAAAACCTATTCCACTTACCTGCCTTATCCTTTGTTGAAACTCGACACTATTGCAGCTGCTGGTCCTTGGTCGAGCCCGCCAATGACGACGCCGGCCCGTCACTCCTACAGCCTCTCTGGCGCGGTGGCTGACCAGGAATCGAGTGAGTCCACGCGCTGAGCTCGGGGGTTAGTTGGCAAGCTGCCACCTTACCACTACCCCACGCGCTGCCCACGATATTAGCCTGGCTAGCCTCTGTAGACCACTACTGGCTACGAAGACGAAAGGCGCGTCTTCCCTGCTTGCCTGGATCTTCCTACTAGGTGCTGAACGTGGTAGACACAGGATTCGTTACGCACGCATGGAGGATGGGATAACTTAGCACAAAAGAACCTACCTAAAACCTTACCTAAGCCGCTGATGTTACCTACCTAGCCGCAACCTGGGCGCGCGGCTACCCATCTCCATACGCGGGGCGGCAGAACCGCCATCCACCATGCGCTCGGCGTCGATGCACCATGTGGCGGCTCGGTGTGATCAGCACCTTGCCTAAAGTGCTCGCCGCAGCTACACCCAACTCCCGCTGTCCCCTACGATGTTGCGCGTCCACCAAGGTTCATGACGCCTTGACGGGCGCTGCCGAGGACTACCCGCTACGAGTATGAACAACACGATACATAGCGCGTAACGCTGACGAAAGAAAAGACGGCTAGTTCAGACTACGTTTATCTACAAAACACAAGAATAAACTACTAATACTACGAAAACTACTAAAACTACTAAAATTACTAAATATACTACTTCAAATCCAGGAAAAACTAAACACGGGACGAGCCGCCTCGTCCCGTGCTGCCGATGCTAATGGTGATCGACTTCAACAAGTAGTTCCGGGCTCTCCGCTGGGTCAACCGCAAGCCCCTAGCCCTTCCGGGACGGTGTGACCCCTCTCCACTCCCGCTAGTGTGCTTCCTGCGCAAGACGAACCGTGATGTTTAGCTGCGCGTCTCCAAAACCAAGAAGATAACAAAGGCTCAACCGCTCGAAACCGATGATCATCTGCGGGAGCTGTTGGAGGTGCTGCCAGCACGAACGAAATCATAAAACGATCAATACGAACGGAAATCAAAGAGGCGTAGACCGCGGCCTGCGCGCCCTTATATACCCTGTGACTTGGCAACGCGCCCAGCAGGAGAGGTCTTGGCGCGATCTTGAAAACGCGCCAAGTAACGCGATAGCCAGCGCTCCCGGCCTTCTGTTTCGAGGAGTGGCTTGCATCGCGAGCCGCGACATCATGGGAAATCAATTTAGGCCGTCGAATTTTTTCTATTTCTTCTTAGCAGTGAAATATTGGGAATCTGAATTTTTTCTATTTCTTCTTAGCAGTGAAATATTGGGAATCTATCTGACCGATATATTCACTGATTCATTCCAGCTGACAAAAAATGCATTTATTAGGTTGCGTAATGAGTTCGTTCGCATTTTTTGTTTCAATGTTTCCTCGCTGTTTCACGAAGCATTCGGCATAGTGTTTGTATGGATTCGGAAGCTTCATGTCTGCTCTATCAAACTGCTACCATTTTATTTCCAGTTTTTGAAAAGTCAAATAAAAAATTCAACTACAACCGAAAAATTTGAAAGTGCGAAAATCCCATTTTCGACAACTATGTCACGCTGTGTTTTGAATGGGTTCGAACGCTTGAGAAACAGCTCAAAAACCTTGCGAAATGTATAAATAGGGTACTGTAACCCCGCAGATTACCTACAGGCGCTAGAGTCTTTCAGAAATTTAAATTGTAAGCTCAAAAATAGGTATGTTTTTGATGTCTCTTCGGCATCAACGTTGAGCATCTTAGGCATCTTTGAGGAAGAGTGGTAGCTGAACAGTCCAGGAATTGGCAGACAATGTGGTCTATGCTCGCTAAATCATCAAATAAATTGGTTTTGTAGTCAAAAACCCAGAATTTGGGGGATACACAGCCCAAGTACGCTAGACAAGGTTATAGTACGTTAAAGCGAAAATTCGCAAAACGGCCATTATTTTTGCATCAACCTAATACTCCAAATCACCCTCAGGTGAAGGCGGTCATCCGGGTTCTGGCTCAAACGTGAAGGAGATAAGATCAATTGCTCCCCTATCGCAACTATGGGTTGAGGACTATATGATGCCGAAAGCGGGTGTCCAGCGGACATCTGTAACCACCACGCAGTCATATGTGTTACAGACATTGCGATATTGTATCAGCAGTCCGCAAGGGGTGGGGTCCATAGGGGAAATATAGTCCTCCACCTCTTGCGGAGGCTTGTGCTTGGGCAAGTAAAGGGAGTAGAGATTTGCCACTTGTGCGATGTGTTAGTACAAGCCATGCGGGTTGACTGATGACATTATAGTGTGGTGCAAAACGGCCGTCTTCTCTTGGATGCTCACTGATTTGGAACTCATCTCTATTGTAAGCGTCAATCTTACGGTAACATATAGTCTAATCGTTGAATTTTGAAATTTTGATGAACTACAGCAAATAGCATGATAATTCGGAAGTGTAATTGCTTGCCATTTCAGCTCCCGCAAAATCAGTATTTGGCTGTGACACAGTGGCTGTCCACAAGAATTTGTGGGCAGACTTCTGCGGACTCAAAACGCTGGAATTCTGGAATAAATTCCAAGATTTCAAGATTACTAGAATACAAAATCTCGCGTACACCTACTTTAAATCTTTTGAAGATTTTGAAAATTGATTTAATCATCTACAAGTAAAATCAAAGTAAAGTCAAATGCAAGATTTCATAGCATTTGTAGGGTTCTTTTAAAAATATGGCGAGTCAGCACGTCACTCCTCCCTGAACTATTGTATGATAGGTGAATCTTGACTATATTAAAACTGTCTTTAGAGTAAAGACAATCATAACCGAACTGCTTTGTTACGATTAAATGGAAGATGAGATCTTCTTTTTTTTCAAATGGATCTACTCTGCAAAATACTTTGCAAAGTAGATCCATTCTGATAACTCGATGGTCTACCATCGAGTTATCAGAATCTGATAATCGATGGTCTACCATAAATTGCTCTTACGATTAGACAGTGGCTTTCTTTGAGCCACATTCTTTCTGCGAATTTAAAGCCGCCATACATGTTCGATTTTTCCTAGCTAACTATGAAATGACTGAAGTTTTGAGCAAGGTAGCATCGAACGGTCATAGTTATGCAGCGATTATAGCATTGCAATAAATTAATGCAGCGAATCTTGTTGTCAACGATATAATGTTACTAATAGATCTGCTCTATTAAAGAATAATCGAGGAAACAATCGAATTCCATAACCAGAGCTCTATTTCAACGCTGCTCTTAGCTACTCTAAAGTAATGATTTTTGCACTTGGACTCTTTGTTTCATATCAGCTTAAGTGGCAGATTCGTCCTTCAAATGAGTATAAATTTGGTTACCTGTTTCAAGTCTCGGGAATTTCAGATCCATATGTCTTTCTAACTTTATCCACTTATTCATTTGTTCTTTCATCCACTCTTTAATCCTTGTAAAATTAGGTGACAAAATATATTTAACCAAATCTTCCTCTGCGATTTAAAAATGCAAAAAATAGAATATAATAATCTAAATTGTAAAGTAGCTCTATTTTCCACGCTACGCATATTAGTTTGCTTTATCTTTCACAAGGTGTTACAGAAAACCTTTGATTATTTTTCTGAAATTTTCTTCAACATAACTATCATGACTGTAATTTGCGCGATCGGTTGCTATTTAGTACTGATGCAAGCCAATTTTTAATATACATTTTTATACCCTATAGAATTTTTAGAATTTCGGATACCATTACATCCACTAATTGTGGTACACACTTTACTATCCTGTATTTTCTTTTAATCAATTTTAGCTCTTTCATCAAAATTGTATCTAATTAGTATATTTTTTTTTTCAAATTCCTACTGTCTGATGCTCCTATGGGACCAAACTCACAATTAAAATCCAAATTTACCTTTTTGCATTCCTTGGTGATTTGATCCTGACCTCTTGTGGGATGTCCTGATTCTATCAGCATAGCTGAGGTGTAATGAGGCTCAAGGGGTCAGAGATAAAGGGCTGGGTGGGCCATTCGATAATGGCTATATAAATGAGGTAACGAGTGGAATCCATTGGCATTCTCGGGTGTTTCGCTGGTATTCCATTATTAGCAAGGATTTTATATATTTCTAAGTCTTTTTCGTTCTATTCGAAGGATTTTTGTACATCCTATCCTTCAGTCTGAAATTTTTTGAAAATAGTTGGTAACTTTGGACAATTGAGCAGGTCCGTAGAACAACCTTTCTGTTTATTTTCTAAAAATTTCCAACAAATAAAATTATTCTTTCAAAGAGCATCTTTTTACAAAGATTAAAGTGCTTCGCCGCCTTCATTATCGGCTTCATTAAAAATTTAAAATTATTTCCCATTTCAGAGAGAATCAAGGAGATGTTTTTTGTACTGTTAGCGAGTCTTGCATGCTTATCGGTTACGCATCCATCGCCAAGGGTAAGAATTCTTACAAGAATTTTGCGTCGTGTAGACCGTAAATGCACAATTTTCAGAATCAGACACAACATCAGCTGCCAAAGATACCGTTTTTGAAAGAGGTGGATTCTACGGGAAAGCAAGAGTTTCAAATGATTTTTGCTGTAAGTATAATTCTGCTTTTGTGATCTACAAACATGTAAGTCTCAGCGATTTTAGGACAAGGACGTGACTCGACCACAATTTGACGAAAAATTGTTTAATTGGGCTGAAAAATTCAATGTTACGGTAAGTGATGGATTGTTCTTAAATTAGAAAGCCAGCTTTGAGATTGAAAGAATAGTAAAAATTCTCCAAAGGTGTTCTTGATGGTTAGAAGCTGATAATTTTTCAAAACAATCAAGCGACGACTTTGTTCGCGATCTTTATGATTTGTCGCAGTCACCATTTTTATAAATCAAATTGCTAATCATGATTACTTTTAGAGTTAAGAGTTGAAGTCAAAATAATGCAATTCTTTAGAGAAACTGATGATACATTAGAAAGCTAATAACTAAGAACAAAATAATTTTTCCATTATCAGTAATAGTAAAGCAGCGATGTTTTTCTCGCTTATTTTTTCTCAGATCTTTACCAACTCTAACTTGTTTCCAGTTTTTTTTTGCCCGAACCTTGATTTCTAGGAATCAGTGAAAAAGTTCAAGGCAAAGATGGAAAAGGACAAAAACGCTGCTGAGGAAGAACTCCAGGAGGCTTTGACAAGGCTAAGCCAATTTTTCAGAGAAAATAAAGAAATTGCTGATGATAACGTAGGTTTCATGGATACTAATCAATCAATAATTCTAATCAATAAAATTTTCAGAACATCACCTGGGCCCAGGCTGACTACGATAGAGAACAGCTTTTACTAAATTTGACTGTCAAGCAGCAACAAGCCGCATTTATGCTCAGTGAGCTCTTTGCTCCTGTCGATGAAGAGGGAGAGAAGCAGTACGGCCCAGTGGTTAAGGGAGAATACCCGAACGTTACGTATCCGTACCAGGGACATGAACAGGATGGGGAAAGCAGTGGTTATGACTCAATGATTGCAAATATGTTTAATGACTCGTTACCTTTTGCTGCAGCATAATTTTGTAAGTTGATGTGTGTGATGTATATGCCGATGAGCGTACTGTAAGCTTACTGTAATATAATAAAACATTCCATTATTAGCTCAGACCAGTGGCGTATCGGATGGGGGGGGGGAGAGGAAGGGCGCATGAGTTACAAAATGTGCAAGTGACTTGTTTATAATTATAAATAATTGAAAAATTTTTTAGATTTTTTAAAAATTCAATTTTCCTGGGTACGCCGCTAGCTCACATGTCTGTCGCAAGATTGTAAAGTTGAGAGGCAGTCGAAGTTTTAAATTAATTCAAGCTCGGAAAAACCAAAGTTTTGTCAGGGATCAAAAATTCAGCAAGAACAAAAGGTTTTCGAAAAAAATTATTAAGGTCACCTACCACTACAGAGTTATCAAAACAAAGGTGTCAGAACTTTTTTCTTCCCATTCTGAGCTCTAAAGATCTGCAAATGCTCCTGTCTTGCAAAATCTCCTACTCAAGATATATAAGGATAAGGAAGTATAAATTGTCATAATCGTCACCGAAGGACATAGTAAACAGGAATGAAAACAATTTTGCTTCTATCTCTTTTCCACTGTGTTTGGATTATTTCATTTAAATGCAGACTAAAGGAAAATCAAATAGATTACAGAAAAATTTCATATTCTCATAACATGCTCGATTCATATTTTTTGTTTTGTTCATAGCAGAGTTGTATTGTTGACGATACGATTCTCTTTCTCAAGGTTACAAAGGAAGGGGCCACTCACATAACGAATTCTGATCAAATAGTTATGCATCATAGGTATTGACTGCATTGTTTCAAAATTGATTGTGGAGGCTCAAACAACTGTTGATGTTGTTCAGTTAAGAAAAGGATTTGAACATCAAATCCTTTTCTTAACTGAAAAGTTCACAGACTATTCTATAATATAAAAAAGTTGAAGGTTATTGTTTGCCGAGTAAAATTCCTAGTTTTGAGTGTTTTCCCTCGTTCGCTTACGGTATTTCTAAATAGGAACTTTTGGCTACACAAATTTGTTCGGTAAACGAATGGTAATTTATTCATTTATTTGTGCATAGGAATGCCCTACAAGTAGAAAACAACCAAACAACAGCAAAAAAACAGTTAACAAAATAACAACTGGAACAAATGAAAGTGTTAGTGTGATTTCGGGTAGCCTTCCAAACCTTTCTGAACAATGTAAGCTTAGCCACAAACACTTTCTTTTCCAAAAGTATTCTACATGACACTGGGCACATAGTGAAGAGTCTTCTAACGTTTCGCCTAACCGTGGAGAACACAAGACTTTGAGACTATACGGTTTTATTTTCGCATATCGTTTCATTGTCTGCCGGCTAGTCCTGTAAGATTCTTTAGCCCTCCAAATCGTCGAAGTAGATTTGCTTTCTCATTCTTATCAAAATGGCAGCGTTTTTACGCCTATTAAAATAACAATCAAAACCTTCGCAAACGCTAGAAAAGACATTAATTTTTTCCTTGAAAGTGTGCGTCAGTTTGAATGGACTTTTCGCACATTTAAAAAAGATAACGATTGAATGTTTTAGCTCTTTACAATTCAAGAGAGATTATTGCTTATCTATTACTTCGAATGTGTGTCTTAAAAGCTAAGTGTCCTTCGTTATAGCTGTTTTATCACAAGACAAACACTGTCAAGTCAAAGTTATTTTTTTCTAGCAAAGAGATATCATTGAAATGGGAAAAGATACGCCAAAAAATCACATGCTTTGTTCTAAATTTGTCTACAAATGCATTATGAACGTTACCTTCTCAATAAATGTACAGTATGCTTAAAATCCAACTGTTCGGGCCGTTCCCTGTTCAGCAACATACCCTGTGATTCAACTGGATTGGCGGCTGGAAGGCGGGGTTTCGTGACCTAATTAAATCTAGAGAATAGCCAGAAGAGCACGTTCATGAGAGAGACCCAGACTGCTTCGCGGACGCGAGCGGTCGTCTTCCAGCCGCCAATCTACTCAAATCAAAGGTTATGTAAGCTGTTGTCGCGAGAAAACATGGGCGAGCATCCCACCTAGAAGTATTTTCCATTCAATTTCTTTACTTTTGGCAATAGAAATTATTTTACTAGGAAATAACTCCAGAACGATAAGAATACGTTTGAAACAGAAAGCGTGCTCATTCTTTCTTGGAACGATCCCTCACTGCTCAGGACCAACGCTTACAACCGCTCGCGCGCACTAAGTCCCAAGGGGGGGGGAGGCAGGATGATTTTAAGCTATCAGGTTGTCCGGAAATTCTTCCAATTTGCAATTTCTCAATCTCAAGTGTAATGCCTCCGTTGAAAAATCAAAAATTTCAAGATGCAGTAAAAATCAATCAAAAATTTCAAGATGCGGTAAAAACCACCGTAATTGAGAAAGCTTTACCTATTTAATAAAGGATTAGTGGCGTAGTCGTGTGAGGTGCCGTTGTGACCAGATCGGACTCAGATTCGATCCCGCCTCTGGGCCAACCAAACCGTCTACCCCCAAAAGCCGGTAATTTAGTACAAAAGTAATTTTGAAAGAATAAAAGCGCACACTTGATTATCGGTGACCCCCGCAAGTCATTGCAAAGTCTCGCACGCATACAATTGACTCGTCGACTTTGAAGTAGTGTGCGTTTGGCGCATGCCCGCAGAATGTTTCAAAGACGCCGAATATTTTATTCCTTTTACTTTTATCTGTTTAATTTAGTAGTTCTGAAAGGAGACTCATGGCGAGCCGAGTAACAAGAAGAAATTTTCAAAGCAACGTCCCCTTTGACAAACCGTAACTTTTTTCAGAAAAATGATTAGCTGGATCTAACTGCCCGGCACGAGCTGTTATCAAGTAATTTTGTAAACGAATTTGAAAACAACGCGTGCAGGGTTAAAGTTCCAGCTAAACGCTTTCCTGAAAAGAAGTTACGGTTAGTCAAAAAGGACGTTGATTGTAAATTTCTTCTTGTTTTTCGGCTCACCATGGGTTTCCTTTTAGAACTACCATCTCTAATAAATATGAATAGAAAAGAGGAAAACCTAGCAATTATGCATAAACTCTCACCTTATCTAGTTCAGTTATTCTGATCTACAGTATATAAAGGGCGGTCTGCATACACGTCTAACAGTCCAACTTTCTCCAGCTGTGAACGACGTGAATTTCCAACTTTCTCTCTAATAGGGAAGTATCGTCGTAATCCAGAGGGTACGTGCTTGTGCATGCAGCTGCGTTAGTGGTCAAGAAAGCAAGGTTTAGCGCTTCATCTGTTCAGCTGTAAAGATACTTGTTCGAATCGGCTGCAAATCGTTTTGTCCCTTAGAGGCTCTGACGAAGGCGATTTGCCGAGACGTTAGCCGTGGAATGAATAAATCAGTTACCAATCTCTTATATGGCTCGGAAAGAAAGAACAAAGTACTTCTCTATGTATATAAAGCAGAAAATTTGTATGTCAGTGCACAGTGTGCAGGTTGTGCAGAGTGTGCAAGGTGTGCATGGTGGGTAGGGTGTGCAGGGTGGGGAGGGGGGTAAGTGAACATGCTGATTCGAATACATGACGGGACCTGGAGGAACCGGGTTTGCCAGCTTGTTAGATAAATAAAAATAAAAAGAATAAAATATTCGGCGTCTTTGAAACCCTTTGCGGGCACGCGCCGAACGCAGACTACTTCAAAGTCGAAGAGTTGTGTGCTTGCGAGACTTTACAATGACTTGCGGGGGACAGCCGAAGTCAGTGCATTGCGAAGTCATAATCAAGTCAGTGCATTCTTTCAAAATTACTCTGGTACTAAATTACCGGTTCCGGAAGGTGGAGGGTTTGGTTGGCCCAAAGGCGGGATTGAACCTAAGTCCGACCTAGTCATCGCCTCATACCACTACGCAACTAGTCTCCTTGATTGAATAGATAAAGCTTTCTTGATTACAGTGGTTTTTACCGCATCTTAAAATATGATTTTTCAACGAGGACATGACACTCTAAACTGAGAAATTGCAAATTGGAAAAACTTTCGAAAAAGCGTTGGTCCCTCGAGCAGTGAGGGATCGCTCCAAGGTTAAAGAGAATATAAGCAGTACTTACAGAGAGCATGCAAATGGTAGCTAGAAGGTCACTAACAGAAGACGGTTAACTCAAAAATAATTCTGCAACGTGTATTAACTTTCGGACAGTTTGATATGCATGATTCGCACAGCAGTTACGGATTCCTTCGCGTTCCAGAATTCATTATAAGTATCTGCGCAATCCTTTGTAGGAAGTCGATAAACATACTCATCTCTGTACAATCATGCTTAGATACGAGCTATCTTCTTTAGATTGTTCTGTAACGTTTGACCACAATGATGCATCTGTTGACCTTGGAACACGCAAATATGGGCTTGGGGCTGCTTTCAGTACCCCTAGTAGTGCTGGAAATAATTATAAAGACACTCTGAAAATCGTCGTAATTTGCGTTGTTGATGAAAAACTTTGCTGTGTAGTGTGCATGTTAACTTACCATAATCCTTTAAAACGGCTTCCAATCCTTCTAAATTTGGAAGGAGAAAAATGAACAAACGGAAAAGAAAAAGCTCTTACTGAAAGCTGGACATTATTTCAAAAACACCTGATTTTTTTGAGCGTTATCGCATTTCCTGACTCATAAGTTTTCTTTTACGACTGCATCATAAAATCTGAAGCGTTAGCAACATTTACGACCTGTCATCTTATTCAAAGAAAGATGATCAATGCACTTTTTCCTTTCAAAAGCATCGAAAGCCAATTTGCTGTAATAAGCAGCTGAACTGAGGAGTTTCCAAAGTTCTTGTTTGTCTCAGATGGAAGTCATGGAATCCACTGAACCTTTTCGATCAATGAGTTAGAGAGCGCTTTCGATATTCTGCGTAATCGCTGATGTGGACGGACATGCTCCAACCTCAACATAGGCTTGTCACGCTTTTAACTACAAAACC